AAGAAAAGCACTTCAAGATGCTAGAAACCTGTAAGACCCGAGAATATGGTGCTGTCAGGAGGCAATAGATGTTAATAACTGGGAAAGTCAGCCTGCATCCAGAAGACAGATGTCGAACAAGATCCCTTGTTCACAATATGGTTATAGGGAATTAGCGGTTGTTGCGGTTGCTTCTTATATGATAACCCGTTGAAAAGATGTATTTTCCTGTTTGTACTATGTGAGTCTTCTGATTTGCTTTTACTGTTTCTGTAACCGGTATTTTGCCTCCTGCTGTGGAGAACCTAAATTCCTGTTGCCATGTCTCTCAAGCTGTATGAGGTCATTTGGATCTGACAGATTGTTTGGCTGTCAGAAGTGGTACCGCTGCCCTGCCTCCTGCATTAGTCCCCTTTGTTTCTTGTTCTCTGTGCTGTCAGTAGGGTTTATGCTATTGGGGATCTAATGTTGCTGTAAGCAGGATTGACAGAAATCGATTCATTCATTGAGGGGCCACCCAAGCACCAGTGTGACAGGAGAGCAGGAGATGTGGAGTGTGAGACGATGACAGTCTGGTTTAATACCGCTGTACAAGGCGGTTAGCTTCCATGAGTGCTCCCACAGCCTGTGAGTGCGGGCTGCCTTCCCAAAGATCCTTAGCACGTACAGGATGTGTTTGCAGCGTTGGGTCTGTAAGACACGGGAAGGGGGCTGAACAAATGTTGTCTTCCTCCCTTCCTTTCTCTTCCTGTCAGAAGCTTGGTTAGACCGGCAAGGATGCTCGTGGAACTTCCAAACGTGCTGCAGCCCAGACCAGCTCCAAGTCATGCCTCTGAACTGTTCTCTACGTACCACCACTTCCAAAAAGTATGGTCACTGATTGTCAGCATGATCTCGCCTAGTGCAGCAAACTTAAGAAAACATTGAATAGCTTCTAGTCTCCAGTTCAGTGTCAAGATGAATTCTTACTCCTTTTTTTTTTTTTTTTTTTTTTTTTGGCTCCCCTGGTTTGCAAAAGCTTAGGGGAAAGGTCTCTGCCGCAGAATGAGTTAAATCAAACTAACAATTTTGTAGTGAAAACTGATTAATTCCACTTTTGCTGACTGTTGAAGGCACTTAATTTGTCTTTAGCAGTTCTGTTAACTGTCTTGATAAAATCCCAAGCTATTAGCTAGCATACTAAACGTGGACTCCAGCTATTTCTGTTTGGAAGGGCTATGGAACTGCATTTGAGAGAGAACTGGGGAAGAAGAAAAGACTGGTTTGTAGGCAGGACTTACTGGTATCCAGCAAAAGGAGTGCATGAAATAGCCTCATTTGTCCAAAATGTCACAGTCATCTCACTTATTTAGACTCCCAGTTGAATATCTGAAAGATACTAACGCACAGAGAAGCTTGTGGTAGAGCACTTAGGGCACTGCAAATGGATCTTGGAAAGGCTGTTGCTGCCTGAATATTCTAAAATAGTATTCATAGGAGAAAAATGCATTTATTCCACTGTGAAGAACAATATTGTGGCTATTAGATGACTGCATTTTTTGCCAAGTGGCTGATTGTTAAAGCAAAAAAATCTTGTGCCAAAGAGAAAAAGAAATTGGAGTCCTTCCATAGCTAGAAGTGGGTTGCCCCAATTTATTTAGATGTTCAGAAAACACTTTATTACCTCATGCTTACTTCAGAATACTTTTAATAATCCCACAGTTCTGACCCATTGATAAAATTACTTGGGGAAGAGGATTGTTTCATTTGCTAGGCATCCTAAATGAGCTTTTCACCTGATGATGTCATGTTATTAGTAGTTGTACAATAATTGGATTTGACGGAAGAATTGAGACTGAGCTGATGTTCTATTCCTATAAATCAGTGTTGCTCAGATCTTTGGAACTGCGTTTCTCACAGAAATATAGTTTTCTGTCTTTGCAGAGGGCAGGTATCCTTATTGTTTCAAAAATAAATGTTAGATGAAATACTGTGGATGGCATTCACTTTGAGATAAGTCTCTTTGCTCTTACGGTTTGAGTTTCTTCGTGACTGGTTTCTGGTTTACTTACTGCCTTTGAAATGGAGCAGTCCTTACATGTAATCTTTAGACTTCAGGGGGATGTAATCATCTGCTGAGATCAGCTTGCGTGCAAACAGAATAATCACGTTCACGAAGTTGTATTGGGATTTAGCAGGGTGAGACTTGGTGCAACACAACAGGTGACCCTAAAGAATTGTTTCAAACCACCGTGTTTCTTATTCGGTGAAGCAAACTCTTCTTTTAAGCATACTGCAACTAGTCACAGTTGAGCTTTCATTCACCATGCCAGGTTTGCTGCTAACTTAACATTTTCCTTTTTTGAGCCCCAAAAGGGAAGATAAGAGGGACTCACACGACAAAGTTAAATACAGTGTCAAGCATTAACTAATATAAGTAAAAATGGATCCTGAAGTGGAAAGCTTCAGACTTCATTTGCTCCGATTTCTAAGATATGCTGAAGTATTTTGAGCTTTTTTTAAGGTAGGTTTGGTTCTCTTTTTTTTAAACACTTTTTCAGATTCTCGACTAGAATTTTTTAAAACTTCCGAGTGAGGTTTATCCTTCAGGTTTCCAGGGAATTCCCCCATCTAGCAGTGTACCAAAACCCAAGGAGTGTATTTCAGAGCAGTTCTCCTCCTCTGCTCTCACCTGTACCCGTGATGATCAGGCTGATGTTCCAAGTGCCTCCAACCAATCTTTGCTGCATATTCACTGCTCACTTTAGGCTACTCCTCACCGTGCAGGTTGGAGTCAGTGTGGTACCTCTTCTTACCTGTAGTGCTAATAATAATATGTAACGTAACGGTAAGGTAGCTCTGAGAAGTGCCATATTACTTCAGTAGCAATAAAGGACAAAGCAGATGTGTTGAAACATGACTCAAGGCTTGCCCCTTTGTCAAAAGCAAATGAAGAGTCTAACCTGGGATGAATAGTGTAATTCTGCCTTTAATGCATGGTTCAAAAACGTGTGTGCTTTTGCAAGCCCTTCTGTCAGCGGCTGCATTGATATATGGCCTTCCTTTCCTCAGGTGAATTGAGCATGTGAAAAATCATCGACGTGCTTGCTGAGGGGATTTTGGTTTAAGTATGAACTGGTGTAAAATTTATTACTGTTGTGGGGACAAGCATTCTCATAAATTCCTATAGAAAATAAAAACTGTTTCCAAAACTATATATACATTCAAACATATTCCTGCAGTTTGCTGCAAAAATTCTCATTGAGCACTGACTGTATTATATTCACTGTATTTTTTTTTTATATATGCTTAAATTTAGAAAATGTCAGCGGTGGAATATTGTTCTCATAATTACCATGCTGGCTTTTAAATTAGTATTAAGTAGTAATACATGTGTTTACTAGGACAGGTAAATTTGCAACCTGCCTTATGTTTAAATTGTTGCTTCTTAGTATCTTCATTTTAAACAGTAAGGTAAAGTTTCCCTTTTCACTGACTTTGCTCCTAAGTAGTAGTTCCTTTGACAGATACCTTTCTGCTTGAAGTGGCGTGTTCACTTGTTGCTACTTAATCCTTCACATTATTAGTTGCAACAGGGAATGGAGTCAATGCTTATATTCTGTATGCTGACCTGTGTAGAAAAGTAAGATTTTCTTTGAATTCTATTACTTGCTGATAATGTCTTACATGTATGCAACCAGTTCAAAAATGTATAGCATCAGGAGATCCTCTTTGATCTTTGTCTTGACAAACATTAAGATTACCGTGGTAAACGCTTTCTTACTCAGCTTAGTCCAGGAGCTCAGTAATGAGTTGCAGTTCTCTAAACAACTGTCAAAGTTCAGTTTTTAAATATGCTTGAAACTAAGAGAAAAAGGATGATGTGTAAAAAGTAAAATAATTGCAGTGTAAGCATTCTGCTCTGAACTGTCCAGGCATCTCTCATGGGCATAAACACAGTTGTAATTTTGTGGCTGTAGCGGGTTGAGACTGGAATGTGTAATTCTAGAATAGGATTTTTTTTTTTTTCCCCTTTAAATTGCTATCTTTATAGTACAAACAGAAATAGTATTCTGTGTATATGTAAACCAGATGTACGAGTGAAATAAGTGCTGTTGGAGACTTGAAGTTACCGGCTCTGTGGTACTGCCTTAACTCAGTAACCCCAAGTAGCCATGTTTTCAGCCCTCCCACAGTATGCCTCACCTCATTTCTCCCAAATCTGCTCCATCTCCCTTAAGAGACTTAAATATCCCCCCCTCTTCTCTTCTTTAGAAGACAAGTGCTCTGTGAAAGAGTAAATCCCAATGCCGCGGTGGGTACGAAAAAACTGTAGCAGACTTGCCAGGAGTCAGAATATCTGCTTCTCGGATGCTTCACTTTGTGCTTCCCTGTCAAAGGAGGTGCTCCCTGTCCTGGCACCCTCCGTGCCTCGCTTGATACCAAGGCCACGGTGGTGGCCCTGAGCAACCACCCGCTGCCTCCTGCCTTCCCCGGGACTCGGAGCGTGATGCTTCGCTGCCCTCGTTCCGTGCCGAGTGCTGACAGTACGTGACAGCTTTTGTTTCTGCTCCTCTGCATGGTCTTTCTGAGGAGGGTCCACGTGCAGACGTGATACGGGCAAAAATCCCACCCCTGTTAGTAGAAGTTACAGGCTCCTACTGATCTGCTGCAAAGCGTAATGACTCAGATTCAAATCTACGACTTTAAAAGGCGTTCAACAGTCAGCTAATGAAAGGAGGTTCTAGTAGGGCTGAACTAGTTTTCCAGTTGTTCATCTAGGCATGCCAGCAGGCGTGATGTTTCATGGGATTTTAAAGGGTAAATGACTGTATAGTTGGAATCCTAAACCACAATTAAAGTTATTATACTTTCAGTCAGCATTTAACCCCATTTGCAGCTTTGGTCTGTAGGGCGCTTTTGTTTTTGCTCTCACCAGGGGTCATATAACTCTTTATTACAGATTTAGCCGTGCGTATTATTCCTTCGGGATCAGAGTGCCTTTGTAACAACATCATCGATTTTTTGCTTTTGTTTCCTAGGCTGTGAAGATATTATTGCTGAGAGCATCTCACTAGACACCTTAATTGCCATTCTGAAGTGGAGCTCTCAGCCGTACGGTTCCAAGTGGGTACATCGGCAAGCGCTGCATTTCCTCTGTGAGGAGTTCACCCAGGTCATGACTTCAGATGTCTTCTATGAACTGAGCAAGGACCACCTGCTCACAGCTATCCAGTCTGACTATTTACAGGTAACCTGCAGCGTAAAATACAGCCGGTCCTGCTCGAAGCAGGGTGTGTTATACCATCACTAGAAGCACTGGGGAGAAGCTCATTTTAAATTGTAGGCAAGAGTGGGCTTGTATGCACACTAAGCATTCTTTTTATAAAATGGAGAAAATGACATTGAAGTAGTGATTAAGAAAACTCTTTTGTTCTTGGATTGTAACACGACCCAAACTGGTAGTATATGCTATTTCTTAGAAGCCTAATAATAGTTTAGAAATGGCTGCAAATTACATTAAATGAAGCGTTTGTGAACCTAACATTTGACTTGCATGTTTAAGTGTTTTGTAAAATTACGTGGTGGTAGTAGTTTTGCTGTAACAATGTACATCCTAGTTGGGGGCAGTGGGAGCTAATAAATTAGTAGTTGTTCAGAAGGCTTAATTTATTTTTTTCGGGGGAAACACAAAAATATCTTTCCTGAGAAGTATTGCAGAATTTTTTTTTTTTTTGCGGTTTTTCTTCAGTAACTATGTGGTTTTAGGGAGAGGAAACCATACTGACTAATAGAAGGCTTGTGGATTTTTGCTGCCATTTCTCTTCAGGGGAGATAACTTTATAATGATGCCCAGTCTTTTATACCTTAAAGATGATGGATTCTTTTTTTCAAAAAATTATATTCATTCCAATTTTACCTTACTTTTTTTTTTTTAAAGTATAAAGTGCTAGAGATTATTTAAAGTGTCTTTGTAAAAAAAAGAAATGTTGTTTACTTTAAACACTTCAATAATAACAGTAACAGTACTGTTTATCTTCCATGAGAGTGTGTATTATGACTAAATTTGCTACCCTAGGTTTTAAGAAATGATGTAGATAAATTTCAGTTTTTCAGTACCCGATTTTTTTTCTCTAAAACTCTTGAGTGGTTAGCACATGTATATAGATAGGAACAAAGCAAAATTGTTTTGTTTATAGTATTACTGAAAATCTTTCTCTTCACCGAGATTATAATTTAGTTGATTTGATTATTTTCATAGCTTTCTGAGCTCGGCAGATGCTAAATTTGTAATGTCAAACAAGAGATCAAAACATCCAGTGTTAGAATTGCCCCTTTTAATTAACTTTGATCATTCAAATTTATCACCTGTAAATTTTCATGCTTGACCAATCTTTTCCTTCTGTGGAAATTTTTTTTCCCTCTTCCTAGGGATTCAGCAAGTGATATGGATCTAGAAATCATAGTGGCAATGTACCAGTAGTACTACCTTAAAATATTTGGAGGAGTGGTTTAGCAGATCATAAAGTACAAATATTTTGTTCTTGGTACAGTTGTGTTTCTTTATAGCTGTAAAAGACCTGTGTATGTGATTTTTTTTTTTTTTTTTTTTTTTTAATTCTGTGTGTGTGACATTAAACTAAGCATATACAGATTGCTGACTTTCTCTTTCTACCAGGCAAGTGAACAAGATATTCTTAAATATCTGATTAAATGGGGAGAACACCAGTTGATGAAGAGAATAGCAGATCGAGGTAAGGATCCTTTAAGCCACACAGTGCTAAACCAAACTAAAACGTATGTAAGTTCTTTTTTGTGGGTAATTTGTAACTTAAGGAAAAATAATCTACTTTTGTTCATAGTATGGTCAAAAATAAATAAAGGCAGCTTTTGGTCTCTAAAAAAATGAGAACGCAGGCATTCTGAGGGAGCTGGGATTGTTTAGCCTCGAGAAGAAAAGGCTTAAGGGAGATTTTAGCAAACTCTATAAAATAGCAGGAAGCAGGGAAAATAGAGCCACACTCTTCTCTTGGCACCCAGGACAGGATGAAAGGAAACGAGGCATTAACTGAAATACAGGAAATTCTGTTTAAACACAAGAAACTGTGAAGGTGATCAGATGCTGGACCGGGTTGCCCAGAACAGCCGTGGGGTATCCATCCTTAGAGGTGTTCAGAACCCAGCTGGATGTCGTCGTGGGCAACCTGCTCTCCCCTGCCTGGGGGGGTGTGGTGGTTGTGGCAGGATGAAATTTCAAGATCTTTCCAACCTCTACGGTTGATTTTTGTGTCTGGTTGACTTCCTGTTGTCTCAGAATTATTTTTCTTGTAACTAATTCATCAAATAAAAAACCCCTGCAGTATTTTTTTACTTTCCTGTGCTCACGCAGGCTTCTCACAGTAGTGTTATTCTTAGTTTACTGTGTCAACCTTTCACTTCAGTTTGAGTGTGTTCCTCCCACAGAAATCTGTGGTGGTGAGAAACAAGCCATCAAGTGGCATCGGTGTTTTTCCTAAAGTAGTCGCAAATGTATTTTTATTATCTCGGATGCATATTATTGCTATGGTGGTAACTTGAAGGGCAATCTCACATGTGTTGGATATGGGAAGTAGTTAAATATATATTTCCTAAATAAATGCAAGTAGCTAGCAGTTCATCCCCACTGTGAAGAGTCGATCAGATAGTAGGACGAGAGAAACAGAAAGGGAGGAACGTGCCTGTGTGGAAACAGAGCAGTGCTGGTGTGCCTGCTGTCTTTGGCGCGCTGGCCACGGTTTTGAAATCCACTGTTACTGCTTGCAGTATGACTGCTGTGTCATGGACATGTTGTATGAAATGCAACAAAAAGTAAATTAAAATATGTGCTTTTAGTGACCCAAGTAAGTATTAACCTTCTGTATTCAAAAACAGATTTTCTAAGTGTTTGTTTTAAGGCACACCGGAACATAATGGAGCCAGCTAAACACTAACAGACATGGGCTGGGGGAGAAGCTGCTCGTTTCAAGTAATTATGCAGCTTCCTGGTCTGTGGAGTTCAGTAGGTAAACGGCTCAGTTCTCATGCCTGGGATCATCAGATAACATGATAAGCAAAAGCAGAAATCGGACCTATGCCAAATTCTGTCAGATTCGGGCCAAATTTAGTCTAGTAATTTGGTCTAAACTCCTCAGTGACCCTCCTGATTTTGCAGCTCTGAATACGTGACAGTGTCCAATACCAGAAAGACTCAGAAACTGTAACAGGCTGTGGCCAAAACTTGGGCTGTCTGAACTAAAGGGAAGATGGTTATGTTAGACAGATTTCCTCTTTGTGACGCTAGTGAAATTCAGATTGGGCAGAACACCTAAAATACAAGTGCTGGTAGTTAACTGGGGAGGGAGTATGACCTGGGTTTGCTGTAAGTTCTCAACTTGCAACCTCTAGGAAGATACCCACTCTTGGCACACACAGGTATCCTGTGACCGTGACAGCAATTTGAATGGGCCCAACACAGCTGTTAACAAGGTGGGTTACAGAAGGAGGCTAGAATAATTTATCCCAGTGGACACTTAGGCCTTAATTTGAAGAAAGTAAGTTTCTGAAAACTGCTGGGGAAAGGGAGAGTTGCTGCAGAAGAGAGTCCTTGGGGGAACTGCTAGCAGGGTACAAGATACTCATGTTTTCATAGTGTAGCTCTTGATAGAGCTATATAAACATTTACCCCAAACACTGTATTTTTTTTTTGCCCTGGCTTACAGCTATGCAAATGACCCATGCTCCTATAAACTGAACCTGTCTCTATGGATGCTTCATATCAGATTTTAAGGTGTGAAATAGTTTTGTCGAACAATGCTGATAAGCACTGTTGATTTAAAGTGAGAATTTTCTTTCCCTTTCTAGAACTTCCTATAAGCCCTGTAACTCTTGCTTTCCTATTTACACTTTTTGATGTAAACTTAATATTTCTTGTTCCTTCCCACAGAGCCTAATTTACTCAGTGGTACTGCTCACAGTGTGAACAAAAGAGGTGTGAAGAGGAGAGATCTTGACATTGAGGAGCTGAGAGAGATCCTGTCTCCACTTTTACCTTTTGTCCGCATCGAGCACATTTTACCCATGAATAGTGAAGTACTGAGTGATGCAGTAAGTCAGTAGTCTCATACAAATACTATCTCTAGGTTCTTTGTACTTCAGATTCTACAATGTTCAGGTTTGTGGTTTGGCTTTTTTTTTTTGTTGGTTTGGTTTTTTTGTTGTTGTTGTTTTGGGGGTTTTTTTGTTTTTTTGTTTTTTTAAAGGATTATCTCCTAAAATATTCTCACTTAGAGCAACACGTGTATAACTTTTTCTGGTGACATTTTCTATTCTTTAAATCTGTCGGAAGGCTAAGGAAAAATCAGTGGTGTAAGGAATTCAGCGTAAGAAATGCATTTCTTGCAAGTTTTTCCCAGATTTAAAAAAAACATAAAACTCTCTCTTGATTCTTAAAGATGAAGAGGGGCCTGATTAGTACTCCTCCTTCAGACATGCTACCAACATCAGAAGGTGGAAAGTCAAATGCCTGGCTGCGACAAAAAAATGCTGGAATCTATGTGCGGCCAAGACTGTTCTCGCCGTATGTGGAGGAGGCTAAGGTAATGATCATTAACACCACCTGAATATTGTTAAACTGGAGTCATCAGGGGGTTCTGTAAACAGGGAAAGATTTTGGTATGTTTTGTCTCTCTTTGCATGTACTGGCCTAAAATACTAACATTTTCAATTTAACAAGACTTACAAGATTGATCATCAGGCTCAAGTCTCTAGAACTGGTCAGAAAAATTTCAACAAAATTTTTTTTTGTCGAAATTGAAATGTTTGCGAGACAGATCTTGATGAAATTCCACCGGAAACAAAGCAGCGTTCTGAGGGAAACCTCCCTGGTTTCCAGCCAGTTTGCCGGCCCAGCTCCTCGGCAGCCCTCCTGGCAGGCGGATGGCAAGGTGAGAGCCTGAGAGTCCCAGTTTGCAGCTAGTCAGCAACGTTGGTGCCAGGTCTTTCAGGCTCCCCAGCTCCCACTAGAGCTGGGTGGAGAACTACTATTCCACTCGGCAGAGGACTCTTGATATTTCATCTTCTTGTTTGAATCTGAATATGTCCCAAAATTCTTTCGATCCTCCGCAAAATGGAATAAATATCTTGTGTCTGATTTGACTGAAGTCCTTTGTGTCCCACTCAGGCAGTAGCTTCCCTGTTTAATATCTTGCATGAGGACTATCAGACTGAAGATCTCGTAGCACCTCTGATGGTGATGTTTGGTGACAGGGTGGAGATGTGTCTGTGTGGGGCAGAAACATGCCATGTGCTGGTTGACAGGATGGGAGCCTTCTAGGTCGCTAACTAATGCCACGACTTAAGGCAGCTCTGACTTAGTCGAGAGCTCGTGAGTCCCAGCAGTGCAGGTGACTGCAGAACAAGAGGATTAAGTGAAGCTGTGCACATCCACATCACTTACCAGACTCTGCCCGCTACTCGGGTGAATTCAGAGCTTCCACCCTGTGCCTAAGAGAGAAAATATTTTTCTAAGGGTGTAAGTTACTGTTGATATCCTATTTTAGGGGGAGGGGAGAAACAAAACTACTTTGTATTTTGGGCACAGAGGTTAGGGAGCACCAGGTGGCACTAAAGCAGCAAAGGAAGGCTAGCCAGTTAAAATCTTGCCTTTGTATCTTGCATTGTTAAAACTAACAAAAATGTGTTCAAGAACATGTGATAAAAGCTTTGACTCTTTTAGTTTCCAGGTATATGGGATGGGAGTGCTTTAGTAGTAACAGTAAAAAGTGCATTCTAAATTTTTTTCCCCCTTGTCAGGAATCCTGTTTGTTTCTATTAGTCTCATATTATGCTGCTAATATTTTTAAAAGCATAATTAGCTGTTTAACCTTAGAGGGAGAACTCTCATACTTATTATCTGGTAACTATACTCCTATTCATTGTTTAATTATTGTGAAATGCAAAAATTGCAGATGAGTGATTTCTGTTTTTTTGGTTTTTGTTTTCTTTTTTTTACTCATTAGCGTCCCACTTTTTGAAATAAATTAATTTAACATTAAATGAGAATCTTTAAAAGGTATGCATAAATCGCTTTCTGTTCTTTAAGACATCTGAGGGAAATGTTTCATTTTCAGATTAGTGCCTTCTACTCAGTGGCACAGAGTTGAGACCTGTAGGCAGTAATTGTCTGAGGCAGAGCCGAGAGGGTCTGGCCTCGAGAAGGTTACTTCTGATCTGACAGGTACAAAATGAACAAAGCAACCTTCCCAAACTTTATTCACCTGCCTGCTCTTAGTTCTGAAACTCAACTCTGATCACGGCTGAACAATGGAATAGAAAACGTTGCGGGAAAAGCCAGATGTTATTTGGGACCTGGAAAAGTTAAAGTTGTAGGCGTTGCTAGGCTTGTGGCCTCGAGCCTGTGCTTGCAGCGGGTCCCGTGGGTGTGTGTACGCAGTGCCTTCATGAGGGCTCTGGTGGCTGTCGTTGCAGTCAGTGCTGGATGAGATGATGGTGGAACAAACCGATCTGGTTCGTTTGCGGATGGTCCGAATGTCCAATGTGCCCGACACCCTTTACATGGTAAACAACGCGGTGCCGCAGTGCTGTCATATGATTACCCACCAGCAAGTTAGCACTAACCAGTCCAGTCCTCCTTCAGTTATAGCCAATGAGATCCCAGGTAAGGCTGCAAGGTCCTTTGCAGTGCTGATTGCTCTTGTGTGAGTGGGTGGGGGCTCGGGGCTGGGGAGGGTGAATGTGAATTCTTGAATAATATGATTGCCTTGGAGAGCAGTACTGCACCATTTGGGCTGCTTCCCACCCAGCAGTAGTCCCTTTTCCTTCGGTCTACCCTGAAGACATTAACTATTTTTTGATGGCTTAGTAGCTAGTTGGAAAGTAAGCCACTTGTATTTTAGCCTGCCTCAGCTGAGCAATTAGAAAAACCTTGGACTGGTTAAACTTACTGTGGAACACTTGTTGGAGCCTGGCGCTGTGTTCTCAGAGTGGTTCTCAGTTTTCTGCAGACAGTTGTATAAGATGGGTAAGATCCCGAAGGCTGGGAAATGACAAAATACTGATTTCTTGTAAAAACAAAAAGTAGGGGAGCATAACTCGTAGGGCAGTCAGCTTAACTCAGCTTGCCAGAAAAATATTGGAAGCAGGCACTCAAAACACACCTTTTTTCAGTTTACCAAATCCACTTTAGCCTTTGAAGACAAACCAACTTCATTCTTTGTGTGGCAGAGTAAGTTTTTATAGGTGGAAGTAGATATGGCCTGTCTTGACTTCAGGATACTTGGTGTAACATTCCCCATAGGCAAGCCAGGGAAATATAGTCATAAAACTGCTGTAGTATATTTTGTCATTTACACACTTGACATTCTGGTGTCAAACTGGAAGAAGGTATCTGGTGGGATGCCCAAAGCATCTAGCTCTTCCCACCTTTCCCCCGTCAGTGTGGGAATACTCACCGTGCATGGAGAATACACTGGCAAAACTTGCAGCTAATGACAAGTTGGGTAGAGTCAGTGGATGTTTTGGAGGACGGGATTAGACAGCTAAGTGGCCAAGGTTAAGTTTAAATGCAGTGAAGAAGGTGGGAAACGTTGTGCTTATGGAGGTGTAGCCAGCGGTGGGCACAGAGGGTGGCTGAGGGAAACTGTGGAGAAAAACCTGAAAGGCAATATTATACAATTCCACAAAGAGCAACTGTCATGCTAAAATAGGAAAAGAAACATGCCACAAGGCACGTGAAGTAATTTTGGTCTTGGGTGGGGCGTTGTGTTGAGCCCTTTAAATGGCCATGCTGGGTCCGGTTAAGGATTTGCCTGTCTTGTCTAGTATCCTCATTCCGGCGGTCGCCAGAAGTGAATGCATCAGGAAGGTGTAGCAGAAAAAGCACATAAAATAATTGCCTGTAAAATTCTGTGTGTTCTTCAACTATCTGCAGCCCAGAGATGTCCTGCGGTGGATGGTGTTTCTGTTCAGTTGGTAATTTTAAATGCACGAGCTCAAGCAGTCTTTCGTTAAACTTGCATAAACTTTTGGCATCCGTTTTTAGATCCAAGTATCGTATTTCAGTAGATACGGATCAGTTCAGGAGTCTGTAGAAAAGCAATAAAGATGACGTGCCACCAGGAAAAGTCACCTTCCTCCCTCCACCACTCCCCGTTCCCCATTTTATAAGCTCTTTGTATATCAGTTATGTCTCCCTTCAGTCAACTGTGTTGAAAGAAGTAGATAAACTGTTCTTACCAATGCTAGAGCCAGGACAAAAATAATAGGTTTAAATTGCTGCGAGAGAACTTAAGTTGAGGTGTTAGGAAGATTTGAAATACTGTTTAGTTAAACACTGCAGTAAGTTTTCTCGGAAGGTTTGTGAAGGGATTTTGACCTGTTGGTTTCTTGTGATTTGAGAAGAGACTTGATAAAGCCTAAAAGGAGCTTCTGAAAACTTCTGTTATTTGACAAAAGTACAAGTTGTTTATTTAGAAACTTACAGCTGTGGCATCTCAGCAGTACATTACTGTACTCAGACTTTTTTTTCCCCATTTACAGAAAAGCATATAACCACTGAATTGAACGTAAAGTATTTCATCATAAGATGTGACAAAGGTAACACTCTGCTCCATCTTAGTTTCCAAAGAGGTTGAGAAAGGAAACAGGTTCTCAAAGGTCTCCAGTGTTTGGCAAAAGCTCTCGTGTTCTGAAAAAATCTGGCTCTGTTGGGAAACATGAGACATCGTGTTGCCCAGTCTGAAACTCCACTACAGCTTGATTCTGTACAGTGTAGGAATTATTGCCAGCCCTTTGATTTGAGCATAGATATGAACTCTGAGTCTGGCCATGACTTGAAGCACAGGTGGTGTGTCCTGGGAACTCCCTGCTGTGCTTAGTTCTGTAATTAAGTAAAAGAATTGATTGTTTTGCCCAACACCCTGGGCTCGGAAGGGTAGACAGAGCCCAATTAATCTGAGAAGATTCAGGCACGTACCAAACCTAGAACTTGTACAGGAATCCATCCCAAAGCATAGCTGGAGCACAGGAGCTGCTGGAGGGAGAGCTAGGCAACGTCACCTCCATGCCCCTTAGGCAAGGCTCTTAGAACAGGGATTTCTTTACAGCTTAGGTATTCTCCATCTGTCGCCTACATCTTCCTTGTACCCACTGCCTGTGGGCTGTATCTGCAGAAATGCTGTGGGCAGCCTGTCTTAGTGCTTTTCTTGCAACACCATTGCAAAATGAGTTCAACCTCTGCTGAGGTTTGTTCTGCTTTGAGGCTAGATTGTGCAGGTAGTTGGGTTTCCTTGGGTATTTTCCAGTTTCAGTTTGAATTAGAAATCCTGCAGCTGACTTGAGGAAATTGTGGGGTTTATATATGTAACCTCTCCTCCATGTGTTTCACATGAATAATAGTTACAAACCTGGGTTTGAGAAGGTAACTTATTAATGAAAAATGTAGATCATTTTTATGGCTACTAGTTTGGAGAACTTCTCTAAAATCTCTTTTTTTTTTTTTTTTTTTTCTTCAGTGTTAGCAAACTGCTGGTTGTAGCTAAACATCTGGCTGCTAAACCAGGATTCTTCAGAACAATTGCAGTGTGTGGAGGGTAGTGTGGAGGACTTATTTCCAAGCCTTGTGTATAGAATTTTTGGTTTGGTTTGGTTTTTGTTCCTCGTACGGGAACTCAATGGGCAGGGAAGAATATTTTTGCACTACTTACACTTATCCTTCATGTACCAATGTAAACTTGGCAAAATTGGGACCAGTTGTAGTTGCACAGCACTGGGTTTTCTTCTCTGTAGTGCAAATGTCTTTTTTTCACACTGTTCTTGCTGTCTGATCCGTTTAATTTTTATGAGCTTTCATTATGGACATCTGGTCATGGTAATATATAAAACACTTGTAAAGCTGGTAAAGGATCAGATGCCAGGACTTAACGTATTCAGAGATCTGGATTTGTCTTCTCTTATGCACATTTTCCTGAAGACAGAAAGACCACAGAGAAATATCACTCATTGTCAAACAGCAGCAAGAAGTGGCATGAGAATGTTTTGGAACAGGATAAATACCCCAAATTATACATGATTTCCTTTTGGAAAGGTTTTTTGTAAAATTATTTCAATATGGCTGCATAAAACAACATAATTTTAACAGGTTTATGTTGGCTTACAGTTTGTGTAATTTTTTTCAGAATGCTCTTTCTGTAGTTACATACTAGTATTATGGTCTTGTGATTATAGAATTCTGCTAGAAGTATGAAGTATATGCCAAAAAAAAAAAAAAAAAAAATCAATGAGTTCTTGGTCCACAGAATTCATGAGGGAACATTCTGTTGTTATTTAAGATATCCTGCCCCCACCTCAACTCATGAAATTCCTGCATCATAAGGGGTTTACAAAGAAGGCTGTATTTGTGGGTCGTTCTAGTAGAAGCTGGAAATATGGCCTATGTCTCTACCATTTGTATATATGTGATATTCCATGTGACTTAATGACGCTCCAAGAAACATGTGTACATTGAACTGTTCTTGGCAGAATGCTGCTTAAAAAAAAAAAAATAAAATAAACAGCCAAGTCAGCCTGATGTTAGATTTATTTTTTTTTTTTCCCCCCTTCAGAATTAAATCTAACCATTGCAATCGAACTTATTGACTCACGGTTCAAAAAGTAATCTGTATTATCCCCATTCCGTTCTCTGTTACCCCTCCAGTTCCCAATCTCCTCGTTGTAAAAGAGATGATCAAACGGCTGCAGGAGCTGCGCCATACTGAGCAGGTGCAGAGAGCGTACGCTCTTAACTGTGGAGAAGGCGCCACCGTCAGTTACGAGATTCAGATTCGCGTGCTGCGGGAGTTTGGACTTTCTGACGCTGCTGCTGAACTCCTGCAGGTAGGAAAAATTGCTGTGGAAGAGCACAAATGCTTTGATTCTGTCCTGCTTGTGGATGTGTCGTCTGCAGCGAGAGAGCTGCTTTGCGTGTGCACATGCAGGTGCAAAAATGCTTTGAAATGTCTGCATGACTTTAGAACTGTCCGGGTGCAAACTGCAGTGAGCCTGCTGCATCTGACGTGTGTGATTTTGTAGATGCATAAGCGCAATGTATAAATATTTTTCTCAAGGGTTGTTGCCATTCAGGGTGCTCTCACTGCCACAGGTTTGGGGAACAGAAACACTCTGCCAAAAAGGCAGTTGATGACAGTAGTCAAGCCATAACTAGAAATCTAGATTATGTTTTATTCTTGAATCAGAGAGGAGAAGAAGTCCGAAGGAATACGGTAGATCTGCATAGTACATACCAGGTCTGGGAAATTGGAAATCCCACTGCTGTTTGTACGCTGCTGTAAAAGCAAATGCATTTGTTAGTCAGCTTATTCGCACAGTGAATCTGATGCTTCTTGTCTTGTTTTTAAAAAAAAAATCTTTATTCTGTGGTAGCTGTAATCACCTCGAGTGTCAGTGAGGTTTTAGGTGGCACACCGAGCCTGTTACAGTACTAGCAGATTTCTAGTTCCAATGCGTGTTAGTTTAGGAGATTTTTGTAGATGACTTCCTACTTCATTTTTTTTTTTTTTTTTTTTTTACATGCTGGGTTTTCCCTCTGCAGAATCCTCACAAATTCTTTCCTGACGAGCGATTTGGGGATGAAAGCCCACTCCTGACAATGAGACAGTCTGGACGGTGTCGTGTTAACAGCACTCCCACTGCAGAAACCATGTTTACAGAACTGGACTCTTTTGTGGCCTTCCATCCACCCTTGCCCCCTCCTCCGCCTCCCTACCACCCACCAGCAACTCCTATTCATAACCAGTTCAAAGTGGGCTGGAAGCAAAGGGTGCCAACTCAACATCCCTCCCGTTCCTTTTCTTACCCGTGCAATCACTCGCTGTTTCACTCCCGAACTGCTCCCAAAGCCGTCCCGCCTGTCTACCTGCCCAGTGCGAAGGCGGCACCTCCTGACTGCACGAACACCACGACAGGTCTGGGGAGGCAAACGGTGGCCGCAGCAGCGGCAGTGATGGCAGCTGAGAAACAAGTAGTAAGTAGCATGATTTCTTCTCCTTACCCCTGGCCACTCAAAACGGCTTAGAGAGAGAGGAGCCGGAGAGAATTCTTCTGATGAAGTAACTCGGCTTTGTTAAATAAAGGGGCATCTTCACTGGGTAGGAGGAGTGTTCTCTACCAAGCTGGCTGTCGGCTTTCTGCATCCCAAAGACGTTCCCTGGGAGAATGAATGTTCCAGGGGCAGGAACATTTTGGAGGGGCGAGTGGGGCTCGTAAATCTGAAACAGCGCAGTTCACTCTGCGGTAAAACAAAGCGTGAGTCAGCTTCAGTAGTGGCCTGCATGCTGTGGTGGGCGGGTGGAAACAGTGATGGTATTTTGGCTATTCGCAGGTAAGTAGTGCTGAAGCAAACAAATGCCTCTGAAGGGAACCTGTGGAGAATGTGAAGGCGGCCTTACAGCTGTAAAAAAGATTTAAAAATTAATAGGCAAGCAGAAATTGGTAATTCAAATACCAAGGGGTTCACTGGAGCATTTAAAGACGATCACTGTAGTTGCTGGACTACAACATGATGCAACGAACTGTAAGGAACTGCACAAAGACAGAGCTTTGAGAAGTACATAAAAGGCTAAATAAAAAAGTTGGTAATTTATTTCTGCAGTGAAAAAACTGGTTTGGTGCACAGTTGCCATAGGGGAACCCTGCTCTTTAGATGCAGGTTTGATCTGGAGTTCTAAATAGAAAGATGGATTTTTTCTTTTTTTTTTTTTTTTTTCCCTTTAGCATCTGTCCTAAATATATTGCACTCCTGTTTAGGTTAAAATGTTTAACTTCAAATTAGAATTGTTTGCCATCGTTTGTTGCAGGATGGGTTTTGTATCATGTCTGTCTCTCTTGATCAATACTGAGTTTACTAAGGAAACCAAATAGTGATCTTTTTCATATTAGAAATGATTCTGCTAGAATGTTTCTATAAAAAACACGAGGAGAAGCGTAGTCTTAATATGGGTGATACTTTTGTTCTGTATTCTTTCTGCAATTTGTGGGTTACTAGTAATCAATGATTACAAAAATTGCTTTTAGAAATGACAACTACAAGTAGAAATTTTAATTCTTCTGTCTGGAAGGCTGTAATATGCTTGTGTCATTGCAGGTTTTGCTTATAGGCGTGTATAAAGTAAATTAATTTACTTTCAAATATGAAATGCAAGCAGAAGGGTTTCATCCGTAGAGACGAAATCCATGCTTCATGGCTTCCCTGCGCTGGAACTGTGCGCTGTAACAAACCATTTGTTAAATTCTGCACTTGCCTTGTTTGATAATTGCAAGTGGCTCGAAGCAAGCTTACCTTTTGAGAGTTTAACAGTACGGCGTCATTTGCTGCGTGTTCAAGACAAGATGCGTTTAAGAAGCCACTGTTCCTGTGGCACAACAGCTTCGTGAAGGAGAGGAGTTATCTTTAGCTAGCAGGAAGGTGAAGGTAGGAGAATACGTGTGTTCTTTGAGCAGTGTTGGAAACTTGGTTGGTCTAGGTAAAACTAGCTTAGGAAAATACCATTTTGAACTGCGGAACCTGTCCTAAATACGGTTTGTGTTCAGCTTTTGCTTTGTTTCCACGAACCAATTTATTTTCTTTTCCAGTGCACTCAGCCCTTGCTAAATGAACTGATGCCAGATATCGCCATGGGTGTGTCAGCGATGTCTTTAAAAGACCGAAGGTTACCGGAGCTCACGGTCGACACAGAATTAAGCCAGACGGTTACAGAGGTGGGGCCCGGTCCACCCCAGCACATTTCATGTATTCAGACCAGACACATGCCCACTTCTCGAAAGAAACATGCAATAGAGCCAAAAATAGAGGCTCGAGAAAATCAGCAGGAATATCCCGACTTCTACGACTTCTCTAATGCTGCCTGCAGACCCTCTACTCCAGCACCCAACAGGCACAGCCCTTCGCCCTCACAAGGCATATATTTTGGCCCGGATTTGTATAGCCACAATAAGGCATCACCAAGTGGCTTAAAGCCAGCCTATCTACCTTCTCAGCTATCTCCTAAAAAGCAAGAGGATTCTAGGAGGGAATACCTGCTCTCCCAGAACGGGCACCAACACAGGCAAAAGAACGAGCCGATACACCTCGATGTCTTAGAACAACCTCCCCAGCGACTGGACTTGGCGTTGGCGACCCAGGAAAACGCTGGTAACGGCCCCGTTCACATCAGGGGGAGAACAAAAATGGAAACCGATTTAACCTATGGGCTAACCTCCAACAGACCTTCGCTCCCTGCGTACGCCTCCGACATGCAAGAGGAGAGGCCCGGCAGGAGAGCGGCAGATGCCGAGCCGCTGGAACACGGGGCACAGAGGAATGCCGAGTTGGAAAGGGAAGATGCAGTAAGCAGGGGAAGGAGGTCTCCAAACAAACCAGACTTCCTGTATAAAAAGTCTGCCCTGTGAAAGCAGCCTCCGCTATTTCTCTGTGCCTAAGAGTTGTTAAACACCCCCTTCCTTGCGACTTTCGGCCTGACTTCTGTCAGACACGTTCATTCATGCCAGCAGATAAGTTCAGCTTCGCTCACCTCTTTTGTACATACATTGCTTTATTAGAGACAGCATGTTACCGGTTCGTTTTCAATGCTGCTTCTGGGTTTATTTTGTGAGACCTTTTTTTTTTGGAGCAAATTTAATTCAGCCTTTTTTTTTTTTTTAAAAAAAAAAAAAAAAAAAAAAAAAAAAAAAAAGCTGGTACCTTTTTTCTGCAACCTGGTAGCCTTTTGCACCTGTACATCTATTTTAGTGTATTAATTTTGTACTAATATGTTAAACTTTATTGTCACATTTAAAGGACTGTATTTTCATACTTTTGCATTCTCCCTTTCACCTGCCAACTCCCTATGTGCATTGGGTTGCACATTATGAAATGTATTTTCTTATGAAGACAGTAACAATGCATTTATTTTTTAATTATAGGAATTCCAAAGAACAGCACATGAAAATACTACATTTTTAGTTAGGCCTTTTTTTTTTTTTTTTTTTTTTTCTTTCTTCATTTAGATCTGAAATCTTCCTGATTTTTACAACTACAGCAAGACTCCAGTCTAATGTTTTGTTTGAAAAGTTCTGGCAGCTGGTCTTCTCGTTACATAAAAAGCCCACTTCAAGAATTATACTGGGCTTTTTTGAGTCCAGGGGGGATATTTAGGCGTCCAAATCCCAGTGAGATTCACTGGGATCTGACAGTCTGATCCTGTTTGCTTTCTGGTTCAGCTGTGACCGTGGAGAACTCTATGATCACCCAGAAGCACTTATTAAACAGGCTGGAATTGTTCATTTGCCCGTGCGGAAATAAATCTAGAAATACTGTACAAATTCTCGCAGTAACTTGTTCTTCCAGCTACCCGTACGTGGGGGTACGTGAAGACCAGAGTTGAGGATTCCTGCTAAATCCCGGAGCGTCAGGAAGACGAGGCAGAGTGTCTTTGCTGCTGCCCGAAGGGGAACCCTTGGCTTGAGAGGGCTCGTGCCCAGCGGAGGTGCCGCGGTGCCCGCTCCTTGCTTTGCCTCCTCCGACTGGAAAAGGGCTTCGCTCTGGGTGCCGGCGCTCAGCGTTCCTCACCCGATCCGAAACGTTCCCGGGTCCCAAACTGCCGCCGTCCTGTGAGCGAAATCAAAGCGAAGAGTCACTGCTCAGGCATCACGAAACGCGCGAAGCTTTAGCGCTCTTCAATTACCCTCCCGGTTTACCGGACTTTGCTTTTTTTTTTTTTTTTTAAAGCACAGAAAGGAGATTCGCCTCGTGACGGGATGTGAAGAGGGCCTGGCAGGGATCTGGGCCGGGGTGAGCGACGCACCGTGGGTGACGGTTCTCATTAAGCACTTCCCATGCAGTTTTTACCACGGACTCATTGCGTTCAGGGTAGGGATCTGATGCCACCGCGGTGTGCTGATGGCTGCTAGAGGCCTGTTTGGGGTTTTTTTTGTTGTTTTTTCTTTTGTTTGTTTGTTTTTTATTTTTATTTTTTTTTTAAATGCGGTTTCTATAATGAAGAATTTCCCCGTAGTAGAAAACTGTAATCCCAAGTGTGACCTGAGGCCTACTTCAAGGTTCAGTTGAGTTGTTTCCTGCAGTTCAAAATGCCTAACGCTATTTAAACAGAAACCTTGCTGCAACTTGACTTTTAGTTTCAGTTGATGGCAGATCCCTACCTAGCCTGTTTCGTTCAAGTGTGCAAGGCCTGGTAACACCACCACAGCGTTATTGAAATAATCTGAATATTCCATTTCCAAGCTACCAAATAGCTTCTAGGTAAACGGAGATATGGGTGTTTGAACCAATAATCCCAGTGTCGCCTGCACACGCATCTGTAGGCCTCCTGCTTCTGTGAAAGCTCTGCAGATACTCCGTTTTGAGATGTGGCCATGAGAAGGTGCGGTGTAGGATTGGAGGAGAAACTCAGCTAAACTGCACAGGTGATGTCTTGTGGGTGAGGGGAGATGGTTTTGTGCTGGTGATGGTTTTTTTTTCTTCCCTCGGTCAGCCTTTTTTTTTTTTTTTTTTTGACCACAGTCAAGACACCTGCTGCTCCTGGCCTCATCACCAATATTTGGTATTTCTGCGGGGCTGCGGTGTAGAACGTGGTTAGATGCAAGGAGGTGTCAGTGGGGGGGACGGTGCTGCTGCAGGTTAGGGACTGAGGTTCATTGAGTTTCCCCTGACGATGGGAGCACAGCGCTGTGACTGCGTGGCTCTAACCAGACCCTCGGGTCTCGCGCTCACCAGCACTAGTAGCGTTAAATCCATCACACACAAACCCCCCGAAACTCCCTGCATCTGTGTCATGTGTATGTTGGTAGGTTAATTACTAAAAAGTCCTAGCTGTCCTCAGACTTACTATTCTGAATAATTTATTTTTACCTAAAATTAATAGACGTACTTTGAGAAAACTATTTTAGTTACCATAGTTTGTTGTGGCACCGTGTGCCTGGGCAGAGATGGGGCTGAAATCTACAGATTTAACTTTTTAAGCTTGAAATTTGTGGGGGTGTGGCTGATGAAGACTGAGAAGTTTCGAGGCTATGGCTTGAGGGAAATTCATGAAACGCTTTGGCTTTGGAATAAGCTGGTGAGAAATGCCTCTGGGGGGAACAGGTCTGCGTTTTAGAATACAAAATTGCTTCTGAAGTCTCAGAAGCTGAGCAGTATTAAAAAAGAGAATAAAGTGTTCAGAAGTTAGTGCAAGGAAAAGACAAGTCCTCCTGAGGCCACAAAGACAATCAGGCCATGTAGACAATCTGCGTTTTCACTTGCATATTTTGAGTTGGGAAGAAGGTAGCGGCAAACAGCAGCTGATTCCGAGGTGGGAAAGAAGGATTTGTCAAATTGCTGGAACTGTGTTTTTGTACTCCAGTGTAGGATTTCCTACTTAGTTGGATGTGCAAGGGGAGGGGAGAGAGACCATCCTTGTTCTCCATGGAAGCTTTATTCAGAAGCCAGTGTTCATACTCCATCTCACTCACAGAACCCGTACCTGGGCTACCTGCTACTTCTTGTTCTCTGTCTACTGAAACTTTGGTGCAGAAGCTCCTTGTTTACATGAAGCACTTTCTGATTAGGCTGGAAATCAACATCTTTTCCTCCTGTAAATTTGATGGAGATAACAGATTACTGACTATATTTTGCTTGAGGATAGAAGTATGAACATGATGTTTTCTTGAATGAGGAAGACTTGTGCTCCTTGTTCTATTAGAGAGCTCAGACTTTCATTTAGTGAGCAACATGCAAAAACCTATTATTGCCCTTTCCCTGACCCCCTCCTCTTAATAATATATGGATGAATAACTTAATTTCTGAAACAGATTCTTCCTTTGAAATGTTTTGTTGTTCCACGGAGTTACTGTAGTTGTGTATTAATAACTGCTGTGCTGATTGGCAGTTTCTTGTTGTATTTTTCCTGTTCTTGAGGAGTTTGATTTCTGAAAGTTAAGGCTGTCGCCACCTGTACTTGTAAGTAAGCCTTGGGTTTTGGTCCCGGAATGTCCAAAATGTTTGTCTTATGGGTTTCTTTGGTTTGGGCTTGGTGGGGGCTTTTTTGGGTTTGTGGTTTTTGTTTCGGTTTGTTGGGTTTTTTTGTTGTTTTTTTTTTTTTTTTTTTTTTTTTGTGGGTGGTTCTGTTTGTTTTTTGGGAAGAATACTCGTGCTGTTTGAGGCGGTGTTCTTTCATCTAGTAATTACATGCTTCTGTGGTAGAGGTGGTGCTGAGCTCTGCCAAATGCAGGGAACAGCTGAGAGAGAAAATTGTAAAACCGTATTTGGGCTTTCTGTAATTACCTGTACTGCCGGAAGGTGGCCCTGCCTTCAGCAACGTTCCGGTTTTGTTTCTTGTCCTCGTGTTGTTATTGGTATAAAGTCAAGTGCCTTCAGTGCTAAAGGCTCAGAAAACTTTCTTAAACTGACTTCATGTCCTATGCAAGTGTTTTTTCTACAACCTGCATAACCAGTACTTTGTAAAACTTGTTTACGCTTCAATTGTACATAGTGTTTTTTAAAAAAAAAAAAAAATAGTATTTTTATTTAGGTACCTCCAAACTTGAATTCTAGTCTTGTGTGATGCATTGTAAAACAATACATTTCTCTTTTGAGTACCATTACAGTTGTAAAAAGGTTTTCACTGGTTCTATTTTTCTACTGTTGCTGAGAAGCATGTAACACTGACTTTATCCTACGTATAGTTGGCATTTCAAATAAATGGCTTGTATAGAAAGTGCTTGCGTGGCTTTTTCCAAGTAGCAGCTGTCCTCCTCCCCAGCCGCCCGGAACAGCGTGGTTAGTACAAACATGGAGGTGCCCTCTAACAGTCAAGGCTCTTAAAACCTGACAAGGGTTGTTCTTTCTGGAGGCCAAAAAAAAAAAACCAAAACAAGCCAAGGTGCACAATAATGCCAAATTGAACATCAAGGATATGATGCAAACCAGTGTGAAAGGAGGAATTCAGGATTAAGGGCACCGTTCGAGCAGCTTGTTAAAAAGGAAGAGCACTTCAGTGAAATGGTTCAGCGAGTTCCTCTGGCTGGAGCTTAACGGGCCGAGACCATTCCCCGGTAAAGGCAGGAGGGTTTGCTCGTAGCCAAGGACGTGGGACTGGGCCCTTCAGCGCGGAGGTGCTTGCGGAGCGGCTGGACGAGGGCACTGGGTAAGTACCTGCGGAGCCGCGGACGAACGACACGCCGAGACGGGTTCAGGGTGGGAGATAGAGCATCAATCAATGTGTGTGTTTATTGGTCCAGGGTACATATATTTATACAGACAATGATAATTATTATGCCTACTAGTCACTAGCTGATTGGCTTAAGCTCTAAAGGTCGTATTCGCACAGTCCACCTACTTGCAGTTAGTGTTATGAGAAGCTTGTGCTGTAAGCTAAGTTTCTCATGCTACTATTTCTGATTCCTGTTGACTTGTTTTCAATACACGACGGTACCTTAACACAATGTTTCTCAGACCACCGTTACCATAACAGTAGGTTTCTCAGACCACTATTCCTAATTCCCCTTAACCTGTTTTCGACACACCACGGTACACAGGGCTGAAGCGTCCTTGACATTCCTCCTGTATCAGCAGCTGCAGGCAAACCCTAGTGAGGCCCAGCATCAGCAGCTAGAGCAGGCTCTGATCATACAATTGCTCGGTGGGCTCAGGACCCTTGTCTCTGAGCCATTCTCCAACAAGTACCCAGCCCGCCTTTTCTCCAGTTGCCATTACCCTGTGCCAGCAGAATCCTCACAGAAACAAGCGCTTCCCCACTTCTGAGAGAGGACGTGAGTTTAGAAGTGTCTATCCGGCAGCGGGAAAGCTTGGCTGGTCTCACTTGGTACAACAGCAAAATTCCGTGGTTTATGTCCTGACACAAAGTGGGGCTGGGGTGGGGAGAGGGAGCATTGTATGGGCTTAAATGTTAATTGTTGACACCTTCGTTCCCACAGCCCGCAAGATGAGTTTTCGGAGCAACTTCCTGAAGTAGACAACTTTAATTTATCGTTGCTGGCTTTCTGTTCGCAGCGCAACAGCCGCCTTCTGAGGCTGCCCCTGGGCGGGAGCAGCCTTGGGGAAGGAAGCACACCTGCCTTAGGCCAGGGGGGACACTTGGGGGCCGGGCCTGCGAGCGGGCTGGGCCTAGGAGCCTGCTGGGCCTACAAAGGGGCTGGGCCTAGGAGCCTGCTGGGCCTACAAAGGGGCTGGGCCTAGGAGCCTGCTGGGCCTACAAAGGGGCTGGGCCTAGGAGCCTGGTGGGCCTACAAAGGGGCTGGGCCTAGGAGCCTGCTGGGCCTACAAAGGGGCTGGGCCTAGGAGCCTGCTGGGCCTACAAAGGGGCTGGGCCTAGGAGCCTGCTGGGCCTACAAAGGGGCTGGGCCTACAAAGGGGCTGGGCCTAGGAGCCTGCTGGGCCTACAAAGGGGCTGGGCCTACGAGCCTACTGGGCCTACAAAGGGGCTGGGCCTACGAGCCTGCTGGGCCTACAAAGGGGCTGGGCCTAGGAGCCTGCTGGGCCTACAAACGGGCTGGGCCTAGGAGCCTGCTGGGCCTACAACTGGGCTGAGCCCATGAACAGTCTGGGCCCACGAACGGGCTGGGCCCGGAACCGGCTGCCTCCCTCAGTAACCCCCAGGCTGCAGGCCCAGGCCCATGAGGCCCAGCGCCGCCCCTGCAGTAACTCCCGCTCCTGGAAATCCCACAGTTGGTTCACAAACCTTCCCCCACCTGTCCTCTCCCCTCTCGGCAATGTTGCTGCTGGTTCCTGGGCCCGGGGTCCTGCTCTGCTGGGGAGCACAGGGCTGAGCTCGGAGCCGGAGCCTGGGGCAGTGTCCCCCCCCCCCCCCCCGCCTGCTTCAGGGACAGAGGGGACCCCCTGCTCCTGCCCAAACCTGCCCTGGGGTTGTGGCCCCCGCAAGGTGGATGGTGGCCCCAGGGCCAACAGGTCCCGGCTGTGGTTGGCCCGAGCCTGGGTGGAAACAAACCCCTCCAGCGCCATTTCAAACAACCCAGACAGTTCAGGTTGAAGAGTTCTTTAATTTTTAGATATCTGAGCTGGATATGCAGTTACACTCCCCGTAACATTTGCTACAAAAAAAGCACGCACACTACCCAGGGTTCAATTTAAAAGCAGCTAATCCTTGTGCATGAAACAAACCCATGAACTGAGCCTCTACGCTAGAATGAGCTGTTGTAAATAAAGGGGTCAGAAACAAGGAATAGGGAGAATGATAGATGAAGGTCTGATTTTCTTAAAAGTCATTAACATGGAAGCAGGGTCTTACCCCATGGTAAAGAAAGCTTCCAACTACGTCAAGGAGTTAGTTAAAAATTAAAACTCTTAAAGTAGGAGGTGTTAGGGTTTGTGGGTAAAAAAACCTAAAAACTATATTAGCCTCCAAAGTCAGGAAAAGTCATTATTTAATTGTAGCTAAGTGCAGATTCTTCAAAGTCAGTGACAGAGCTCCTCTTCCACGATTATCACAGTGATTATAAAAAGATCACACATTCCATACTGTAGCAAAACGCCAGGCTGCTGCAGTGGTTTCAGGAACACTGCTGAAGTACAATAATTTGCAGTAGGCTAGTTTTTAAAAATCAAAGCGCATTAGAAGTCCTGTAACAAACCCACCAACGCTTCATTTGTACTTTCGCACCTCCTCCTGGCTCTTGTTTATATTCTAGTGAGCGGATAAAGTTCACGTGACAAGTTTTTTTGCATGTAAAACATCACTGTACAATATTAAAAACCAAAGGGTTTGCATTTTATAAAACCAGAGCGCACAGTTCTGTCGCATCAAGCCTAATGACCTCTGATTTCTCATTGCTCCCCGGGGCGTGGGGCCGGGCAGCGACCGGGCGCTCGGATGGGGGGAGCAAACGGCCCCGTCCCTTGTTCCCGCAGGAAGAGCGGCGGCAGGCGGCTCCGGTGGGCAGCCAGCCTCCCCCGGAGCCCCGGCCAGCCTCCTTAAGCCCTTAGGAGAGTAAGGACCGAAGGCGAGCGGTGCCGAAATCCCTCTAAATGCCTCTTAAGAACACGATTTAGTGGCTACTTAAATAAAGGAAGTATGAGACAGAGTGAAGATGGTTCTTGGACAGTTGGATTTCGAGGAGAAGCCTCTTCGGTTTGCCAGTGACTGTTGTCTCCCGGTTCCTTTCAGACCCAAGCCCTCGCGATCTAACTACAGTAGTACTGCATCCGGTTAGTCCGTCGTCTTTTCCGTGACTGAAATTCTTCAAAGAAGTGCTGAATGTCTTCTCTTTTAACCACCTGGGGGGAAGCCATATGAAACCCAAGTTGTGGTACCAGAATTCAATTAAACCACCCTTTGGGTTTTTTTTTTTTCTTGCATGCCTCCCACATGTAATACACGACGCGTATAAAAGCAAGTATCCTGAAATCTCCCCGCCCCAGCCAGCACAACGGCTCTCCCGTGTGAGATGATTAATGCCCGGGCTCTGTGACAAGAGCACACAGAGAAACGAGCTCCCCGGAGGCAGAACAGGCACATGCAGCAAAGCTCCTGAGGGTATTTTTGCTGGGTTTGACCATTTGGATCATCAGAAAAATTAACACAAAGCGCCATTTTTACTGGCTCACTTCCGACTCCTTACAATGTATCTAAGCAAGGCCATTTAGCAAACAAGCCAACAAAATGCTTAAGTTGATTAATGACAGCACGCAAATGCCTTCAGGAAAACAACGGACAAGACTTGTTTGCCAATATTTAGTCGGTCCTTACTCTCCTAAGGGCTTAAATTCAATCTACCAAAACCCATAAAGGTTAAGAGCTTTGTTTCCTGCATACTTTTCCTAGAGCAACAGAAGTTTCATTTAAATTTAATAACTGCTCTCAGTACTTCAGATTTCTCTAAGGTCCCTGGTATCTCTCAACAATGTCATCAGGAAACACAACTTTTAAATTCCAATGAAATTGGGGGGTTCTAATTTCTACTGCAGTACCAGCAACTCCAAGAGACCAGAAAAAAATATTCTAACACAGCAGCATAGTATTCAACGCCCAACCCGCCTTCAACAGCACTTTAAAACACATTTTCTGGCAAACAAATTCTGCCAGTTGCGCCTTACCGTTCCCTCATCTGCAAATCTCCTGAGATAGTCAGTCAGTTCTGTCTTTAAATCATTGTATTCTGGATGGAGAAACAAAGGCAAGGGAAAAAAAAAAAAAAAAAACACAAGAAGATATCCAGCTTTAGTTTAACCCTGGTTCAAGAAGACAACTTGTTCTACTTCCTCTTCTTCTTTGTTAGGTTTACTTGAGACAAATCTAGGTTGGGACAAGTAATGAACAATAATAATAAAAACAAAGGGAAGTCCAGGTAGACATGAGAAGCCTAATAACTTAGCAGACCAGCCTATGCCTCTGAATATCTGCTCAGGTGATCCCCAAGCGTTTAAATATTCACGTCACAAGACATGACTAGCAATCCAGTATCCAAGATGTTAACTAGAGGAAAAATTCCCCCACCAACTAGTTCCTTGATGTGAGTTACTAACGCCGTAACAACAGGCCAGAGAGGCCAAACTTCTCTAGAAGCGATCCCGACCGAGGTGTGTGGTCTGTTGTACCGTCATCTGCGTGCTACTTCAAAAACAGTGACACACCACACTGCAAGACCTGGTACTAATCTCTGAGGGGCAACTGTTCAGTCAAGGTGTTAAAGCAGATTGTAAAAACGACGTTGTATTTACCACAGATGAGCTCTACTTGCTGGACTCTGTTCATGCTGTTCAGGGTGTCCATTAAAGGATCTCTCCTCTCTGTTTCTTGGTCACTGGTACCTTTATTTTCGTAAGCCAAGACGGTGTCACATTCATCTGTCAGGAACTGGACTTCAAGCTCGGAATACATTTTCTGGAGAATAAAGTAAAATTTACTTTTACGTTGCAAAACTTCTGCGATGGAGATGCTCTCCCCCAATCTTTGCTGTGTTCAGTATCACAAATAATAACAATCAAGACAATAATGTAAATTTTGTATCCAGCGTTTCAGAAACCTCCCCATAATGACTTCCAAAGCAATGCTGGATTTAAGCAGCAAAGAACGTACAAATGTTTAGAAGCTCCTTTGTCCTGTATTAATTCCAAAAGATTCAGTCTGTTTCTTTATGTGGGGTAGAGGGTTTTTTTGGGGTGTTTATATGCAGAGCAAGAACATTTACACAGATTTTATCTATAAGCTTCTCTTCAGGGATTCTCTGGGAGCTCCTCCCTGCCTCCCCCACGTCAGTGATGGTAATGAAGAGAGAAAAAACATACCAGACAGTCTTCACAGGTGCATAATTTGCTTCTCCAGTTCGATGGCCAAAAGGTGGCACTATCTCTTCTGGAAAATCGCTTGCTCTGGAGTTCTTTCAGCTTGCAGACTGGCTCCTCCTTCTTGGTCACTACCTGAATTAAAATGAGTGTTCAGTGCTCTACCACGTCACTTCGAACACACTCCATTCTTTCCAGCATGTCACATTCCCTCTGCAAGCTTTTTCTTTTGTCTCAGACACATTTATTCTTATAAACAACCATATTACCGTTTCAGCCACATGAGGATTCTGATGTGGTTTTAGCAGTTTCCACTGGAAATTTCTGTAGAAACCGACTGCAATAGCCATAAATATTTAAGAGATCCCAGCTGGACTATCGTGCGAATGCAGCATACCTCTGCACCAGAACAAACTCAGAAGTTTCCTTAGTGTAAAGTCCAGGTGGCTGACACAGGAAGGGATGGATATAACCTCTCTGCAAACAGATGTTACACCCCTGTCACCCACTTCTACAAGCAGGTCCCACAGCCCCCGCCGCGCTCCAGAGAGCGCGCGTCTGAAGGGTCAGTGACCGAGGAGCCACACGGAAACGGGCTGAAAGCATTTACCTCTTCGCTGAACCTATACAGGAAGAGGTGGGCTTCACTTCACCTACCATCACTACAAAGATGTACAGGACAGAACAGAAGGTACGTTTTACCTCTGGACAGGCAGACCCAAAGCTAGTGGATGGTTCATTAAACCGTTCCATTTGCTTCTCCTCCTTCGTTTCTTGGTGTTCCACTCCACTTTCTTTTTTTATTTCTTTTTTCGGCTCTTCACTTTCCTCAACCTTCAGCACAACCCCTTCATCTTCAAGAGAGTTCACTTTGGTCAGAGCAGGAACTGGAAGATACATACCCACCTAAGTGAAGATACTGTGCCAGACAAGGTGCAGGCTACCACAGGCCCCCTCTCTGCTTCACAGCCCAGTGTCAAAGAGCACCCAGACACACCCCTCGCACTGCTGGGCCCTGGATAGACTCTACCACTGCCCAAAGACACAGTGAGCCAGGTGTACAAAGAAACCAGTCCCTCTTTCACCACAGTCTTCTTCACCTCTCATACTCCTAAAATACTCTGCTTCCCAAAATCTAAGCCCTGGGAGAGGGAAAAGGGCATCCCAATTTGAGTTAGTTCTGTACTAAGATGACTGTCCTTGACACCCATCATGGGTTCAGCAGCTGTTGAGTACTTTTTTTGCTGACTTTGTGGCAGAGTCCTTCATTTTCCCCAGACACACACACACACCAGAAACTCCACGACAGATTAACGACATTAACCACTTCCTTATTTAGAACAAGTTTCTAACTTGTTAAAAACATAGCTGGTTAGAAGGAAGAAAACCAAAACCAAACAAAAAACCCCCATTCTCTACTGTATTTACATTAGAGGAAAGAGAACTCCGGGTAGGCCAGCTTGGAACCCTGAAAATTACCACTGAAATTTCTGGCACGTAAGAGATCAATCACCAGTTGATATAAGCAACATTTAGGAGACTATGTGAAACCAGGTCTTTCCCCAGAAACCAAGTCATCTCCCCTTCTGATCCTGCAGAGGAGGGAGCAGACAGAGGCCTGGTGAACCACAGGGGACACGTGTCCTGAGCACAGCCCCAGCTCTGCTCAGATTAAGGTCGTACACATTCGTTTCAGGTCACTCGATCATTCACTCACTGCTGCTCAGAGCCTCCTGCACTCAGCTGTTTGCCTCGCTGCTTCCCTTAGGATGGCTCTTCAGTTCCCTGATCCAGTTTAGAAATTAAGTTCCTTGAGACAAGTATTAAATTTTCGGCTATCTACGTGCTAAGTACTTCTTTAAGAAAATAAATAAAAGAGCGAGCACCACAGAATTAAGGTTTAGGAATGAGAACTGCATTTTTTTTTTTTTACAGAACAGTTACTGCAGCCCTGCATGTCCCACTGCTGCAGGCGACTGTCCAATATAATGTCATTTCTCCAACCACTTTAACAGTATTATGTCATTAATCAACCCTGTATGAGAAATACATGCTAACGCAATATTGGCTCGGATATGTTAATTTTCTTTACCTGCTAACTGTGATGCGTAAGCCCATAGGAAATGGCAGTGATTCATGCAGGCTTGGCACACCATTTCGTGGAAGTCTCCACTTTCAGGGGGAATTGCACCAAGATGCTATTGAAAAGAAACAAGCACGCAGCAGTGAAGCACCTGCTGCAAATTAACAGACTCAACTCTAGGTTTAGAGGAAGTAAAACATCAACTCCCATCGCATTTTCAGCACAAGCATGCACTCCTGCTAACTTTCTACAATAATTATCAGTATAATTTAAAGACTGGAAAGAGCTGATAAAAATTCCAGGGACAAAAATGAAGTAATTCTCTCTATATCTACAGCCTTTTACGCCTTCTACATACCCAGAAATCTCAGTCCAATCTTCATCTCATTTCGAAATGGTCCTAAACATACCTCTTGCACACGGCACATTTAAACTCTCTTAAATAACTTTTTATGTTTGCTTCCTTACACGTAAGAGAGCATAAGTCTTCATATTGATCACATACTGAACTTGGGAAGAATTAGGCCCCAAAGCTCTCCAGAAAACAGTGAGAACTATTTAGGCAATTAAAAGCACTTAGCGGCTTTCTTTTGAAAACCATTCCTGCAAAGCTCACAGTATGCAGCACCATATTCTTCATCCGTATGTTTATCCAAAAGAATCTATAGTTTATCTACAGAAGCCATAATTGAAGCCAATTTTTTTTTTTTAATTCTTTGATCCTGTAACTTCAAACATGGAATTTCACCCATGCCCTTCAAGGCACAAGAGGCTGAATCCTTAATGCTTACACATTAGGTAGGGCACTCGCTGAAGTGCTGAGCTGCTTTTAAAAGATTTCCCCAAAGTTCGTAGTCAGGAACCAACAGCACAGATCCTTCCCTTGCTACTTAAAGGAGTTACAGTTTAAAAAGCATTTTTTTGAATGAAGGCAGTTGATGATGATGTGCCTCAGTAAGAACCTTTTTCTCACCAACTGTACTGATTAGAATTTTCCAATTAAAGAGACAGTTATAAAGTTGTTCTTTTACTCTGCAGTGGTAACCTTCAAAAAGGTAAAACTCTTCCTAGGTTTTTGGGGATTGGAGTGGACAGAAGTATACAAGATTAAACTTCTCATATTCCTTTGCACAGGATGAAAAGAAATACCTCAGAACTCAGGTAATAATATTTTGAGAACTACAGAAAACCTTCCCAAATAAGAATAACCGCACAATCTTAACCGACACTGACTTATTTCTATGCAAATGGCAATTCTGCTACTTATAGTTTCCTTACCCTTCCATGGAACCAGTCTTCACAAACTATGCATTGGATCATCTCATCTGGAACCTAGATGAACAGTCATATTATTAGCATTAATAGCAACCTCCAGACTCTTTCACAAGCCTCAGACTGCAGCGGTATGCAAATCCTGCTCAAGCGAATTGCACCTCCCTCTCCACCCACCTACAGGGAGCTGCCACTAGTAAGTGGTTACTGCTTCATTAGTCAGTTTGCTTCCCTGAAGTTCCACAGCATATGTAATTTGTCGTATCAAGACTGTGGAAATTCCCATTTATTATTACAAAACTGGTTTTCCCAGTAGAGCAAGACATTCTCACACAAAAGAGCTGATAAAAGTTAAAACACCATTGGTAACTTTTTTCCCATAAACAGAAAAGTATGAACTGGCAGCCTGGCAAAAGAAAGACACTGGTATTCATTATGCCATCAGGTTCATGCAGCAATGCCAGAATCCTAACTATTCACAACGCAGTACAGTACAAACTGCTTTGTTATGAAACAATCATTAATGATTTCTTTAGAAATGTTTAGCTTTCTCTGAACTTCAGAGAGGTGAGTTTACGAAACACTTCTTGGTATTTGAAAGACTTGTGAGTTTCTTATTCTTTGAAACACTTAATTTCTATCACTGCAAACAAAAGCGTGCCTGTGCAAACCAAGTGGTGTATTTTAACACTTCAGAGAGAGAAAAAGTGTTCTGACTGCCGGTGCTACAGGACAGACTCTCCCCATCCCAGGAGCCCTGGCCCAGCACTGCTGCAGGCAGGAGGCAGCAGATTCTGATCTCTCCTAACATGTGCAATGTGTTTATTCTGCCCTTGCCACACTTCTCAAGGTGATGAGAAACCCACCCCCTAAGGGAACTCTGTAACTTTAGAGAGGAAAGCAGGGAAGACTGCAGCAGCAGCATTTTGTCCAAATGATGGTTTGTCTTCCTCATCTGTCTTTAAGCCATATTCTTCCATTAAATAAATAAATAAATAAATAAAATCATAGAACAATTACTTTATACAGCACATGACAACCAAAAGCAATATAGAACTTAAGATTTCTTAAAGTGGGATCTTCCCTGCAAAGTAGCTCAGCGACCACCCTTTGCACAATATTTTGCATAAATACCATTTGCATATATGATAACTACTGGGTTTTGTATTTACCTCATCTTCAGGATCAGGGTAAGGTCTTTTACAAGTACAGTATAATCCATAGAAATTGTCATTATACTTGTTTCCTGAATTCACCTTTCCCTTTTCCTGGGAGGAAAGGAAAAAAAAAATGTCTCAATAGCCAATGTGGTGAAAAACAAAAGACAGAAAAGACTTATAATCTAGAAAAACCCAATTCCTGTTCCACTTTAACTCCTGAAAGCAATCATTACAGTCACCAGCTTGATGATCCAAAAAGAAAGCTGTTATGCAGACACCTAGGCTACACTGAGAGCAGCAGGCAGGCTGTGCAGGCAATACTGAAGTTCAAAAGGAAAGGGGAAAAAAAGTCTTTCCACCTCTGTAACAGATGGCAACTGTGGTTTTTGTTAAGCTACTGCTCATCTAAAAGGATGTAAGAGTTTTGATCAGCAACCACGCCTGCCTGCTGCCATTATAGCAACGTCTGTAGATTTATTGTGTGCCTTGCCCTCCATCTTTTTTTAAAGATCCAAACCGTGTTCCAAACCCAGCTTTGTTTAATCTTACCGCTGAGCTTCCACTCGATTCATGTCATATAAGCCTCACGCTACAGGAGAGGATTATCTAAATTACGACACGTGCTGACTGAAATTCAATTACAGGTAATGCCATTAGAGAAATACAGCTGCAGCCAGAGGGCTTCGGAACGGCACACAGCTGCAGCCTAAAGCCACCAATGGCCCCTGCAGAAACAGCTGTGACAATGTGTGATATTACTACAAAAAGCTTTCTACTGCTACTGTTCTGACGAAGGAAGAACGGGCGACGCGCGCACCCGGCATCCTTGAAGTCAGCCAGATTAACGGACGGCTGCTGAAGGTCACCTAACCTGTATAAACTGATTTTGCACCAAACTGAAGGAGGAGGAACAACCACGTGATCCATTTCATCGAGTCAGAAACAGGAACATCTTAAAATTGTCACAGGTGTCTCCGCAGGGATCACTGGACTGTAGCCTTAGGCTGACTAGCTCTGGACCCATCCCAATTCTGCCAGAACAAAACGGGCATCCACAAAAGCACTTGCTGTTTCTACATTTGGAATGGGAGCAGCACTGCAGGCAAGCCAAGCAGCTTCCCGTCACTGCTTCCCAGAAGATTACCAACTGCTTGACCAGCCCCAAATGTCCACCAAATATGAAAGCACTGGGGGCTTAGCAGAGCAAAAAACTACCCCGCCAGTAGGTTCTGGTGACAACCTATCAATAAAGATTAAGGCACCACAAAGAAGGGGAGGGAACAGTCTCTTTGACAGCAGCACAACCTTACATTTCCTTAATGCAAGTGCAAAACTGCAGCCCAAAAGGTTCTCCTGAAGACAGCTTAAAGCTAATGAGATGTATCAGTGCAGGCACCAGGAGAGGTTTCTGGCATTACACTCATCATGGATGCCAAACTGCTGCATTCATGAGTGACAAGGATCAAACATTCTGTCTCCTCGCAACATTTCCCTTTGGTCCCTCAACAGGTTTATCTCCTGTTGTAATACTCCCACTTAGTTTAACTTGCTGGGAAAAGCAGAGGCATCGCATGAGTCAGCACCGGCTGAGGCAAGGCACCAACCTCCCCAAACTGTTATTTGGATTCCGTATGCATGAAATCTACGTCTGAACTTACTGGGAGCAACTTGCACTGCAGATTTTTGAACTTGCTGTTTCCACAGTCACAGCGGAAGTTCCTGGAAAGAAAAACAGAGCACTTCAGGGTTTTTATTAACTGAAAATACATGGTTTTTTTTTTCCGTTCGTAACAATTCCCAGCACTTTACTAGGAGCCAGAAAAATACTCTTGCAGCTATTTAAGCGACAGCATCGGTCAGAACCGGCCAAAGGGTCTCGCAGCCTTACCCTCCCACACGCTCCTCTCAGCGGATCTCTGCCAACCGTCGTCTGCAACAGCGCTGGGCTGGGAGACCGCGGCAGGCACAGCTTGCCCCGGGCGCTGCAACTACCGCACCGGGAACCAGGAGCGCGTGTGCTGGCAGGGCTGGAGCGTGAACGGGTTCGCTCCCGAAGGCTGGGCCCCCGACGGCCATCGAGCCTCCTGGTCAGGCACCCGAGGCTTCTCCGTAAATCGGGGGGCACGCTGAGGTGGACCCGCCCGCAGCTGCGTGGCGGGGAGCGGTGCGTTCTGTCCGGGTGCCGGCACCGGGACGCTCCCCCGGCCGCCCTCCCTTCCCTTCCCCTCACGCCCGTCGGCCCGGGAGAGACCGGCCGGCCCCAGGGCGCGTGCGGGGCCTCGCGCCGCGCCGGCGCACGCGCGCTTCCCGCCGCCGCCGCCGCACCTCTTGGTGTAGAGCTCGAAGAGGCGGTGGGTGCCGTGGCACTCGTAGCTGCAGGCCAAGCAGATCCCCGCCGGCTCCGCCCCGGGCGGCGTGCAGGTGCTGCAGGCGTACAGCGCCTGCCTCTTCACCGCGCCCTGCGAGTGGGGAGGGGGGGGGGGGGGGGAACACCGGAGCGGGCTATAGGGGATGCCGGGGGTTTGTTGGGGGGGTGGGGAGGGGGGGGTCCCGGTCGGCCCCGCCCCCCCCCTCCCCCGCCCGCCCGGCCCCGCCCCCGCCCCCACCTGCGAGTAGCTGCAGCGCTCGTGGTCGCTGCCCCCCAGCACGGCCCGCGCCTCCTTCTCCAGCTCCTCGTTCTCCGCCAGCACCTCCGCCAAGGAGACCACGGGCTCCTCCGCGCCGCCGCATCCTCCTCCTCCTCCTCCTCCTCCTCCTCCTCCTCCTCCCGCCGGCTCCGCGCCCTCCGCCGCCGCCGCCGCCTCCATGGCCGGGTACGCGAGGCCGCGAGCGCGCCGCGGCGGGGAGCACGCGCCAGGGGGCGCCCCAGCGGAAGCGGAACCGCGCGCCTCACGTGACCGCGGCCCGCGCGTCCCTATGGGGCGGGAGGGGGAGGGGCGGCGGCGGCGCCATGGAGCTGGTGGCGGAGCTGCGCGGGCGCGACGGGCAGACGCGGTCGGTGCGGGTGCCGTACCCGGCCGAGGAGGGCGAGGGCGCGCAGCTGCGCGGGCTGCGGCGGGCGCTGGCCGAGCTGCAGGAGCGGGTGGTGGAGCTGCTGGCGCCGCTGGTGCAGGAGGAGCGGGAGGCGGCGGGCGGCGGGCGGCCGCGCGGTGAGTGGCGGCGGCGGCGGCGGGGGGGGGGGGGGCGGGCCGAGCCCTCAGGGAGGCGCCCGGGCCGAGCCCTCAGGGAGGCGCCCGGGCCGAGCCCTCAGGGAGGCGCCCGGGCCGAGCCCTCAGGGAGGCGCCCGGGCCGAGCCCTCAGGGAGGCGCCCGGGCCGAGCCCTCAGGGAGGCGCCCGGGCCGAGCCCTCAGGGAGGCGCCCGGGCCGAGCCCTCAGGGAGGCGCCCGGGCCGCGCCCTCAGGGAGGCGCCCGGGCCGCGCCCTCAGGGAGGCGCCCGGGCCGCGCCCTCAGGGAGGCGCCCGGGCCGAGCCCTCAGGGAGGCGCCCGGGCCGCGCCCTCAGGGAGGCGCCCGGGCCGCGCCCTCAGGGAGGCGCCCGGGCCGCGCCCTCAGGGAGGCGCCCGGGCCGCGCCCTCAGGGAGGCGCCCGGGCCGCTCAGCCGCGCCCCGCTTCAACCCTGACAGGGAATGCCGACAGCGACGACGAGGAGGAGGAGGACGGGGAGGAGGACGATGAAGGCGAAGACGAAAACAACCTGGACGCGAAGGCGAGCGCCGATGACCCGCCTCCAAAGCGGACGAGAGTTCAGCGGCCCTGACGGTGCCGTTACACACCGGGCTCAGGCGGGGCCGGCCGGGCTGTGCGCGCCCCGGGCCGGGGCTCGGCCCGCTCGGACCCGGGCGGCGCCTGCGGAGCTTCTGCTCCGGTTCGAGAAGTGAAACGTCGGTCCCGACGCCGCTTTAATGCGGAGCCTTAATGACAGGACGCGCCTGGGTGTTAGCAGCGCGTCGCTTACAGGGCACCAGTGTTCCGCTGAGTAAACGACAAATATAAAAGTGTGCTCACAAGCCTTCTGACTGGTACGTTTTCAGTGACCTTTCCCAAGTCGTAATAGTTCTTCGTGTGACTTAAACTTTCAGAGTCAAAAAATCTGGAAAGTTACTCTGGGAGATAGGATCTTAAAATGGTACAAGACAACTTTTATTTGTATGGAAAGCAGTAGAAGACCACTATATTCAAAATAAAAAAAAAAAACACCAGTAGGACTGTGTCCATTCCTGTACAATCCTACAACAGAAGATTATTTTTGCCTATCATCTAAAAGGTTTCTTTTAGTCACCCATCAATCAATTACGTTCCTGGAAAAGGTCATAGGCAAAGTAGATTGAAAGAGTTGGGAATCTTGGTTTCAAAAAAATTCTCTGTTTTTGTGACTGCCAAGAAAGTGATGAGTCTGTGTGATAATTATCTTCAGTATTCCACAATTAAAAGCCTGTTTTCTCCAAATGTGGGGTTTTTTTTTTTCCTCTCTGGCACTAGGCAACATACGCTTTCATCCATCATTGAGTTTTATCCAGGTTGATTTTTAGGCTCATTTGGTAGCTAAGTCAAATAAAGTGAACATCACAGCTTAATATTCTGCCTATGCAGAACTCCTAACATTTCCTAAAAATAAGAGCAGAGTGATTTTTTGAGACGCTTTCTATAAACAAAACTTGTGCAGAAACTGGGGGAAACGTAGTAGGGTTCTACCCTGGTGTTGCAGAGGCTTTCAAACAGGACAGCTATTTAAAATCTATGTACTATCAGCTGGCACTCCAGCAGTCAATAATAACAGATTCGAATGTCCACGAGAGGAAAACTATTACTGCATAGTCAATTCAAGGAATTCCTAAGATTTAATGACAATCCAAAACGCACATTCACTCACCTAAAAGTGAGGGCTCTCAACCCTGACAAGTTTCCTTGGGTGGTATCCTGACCCAAGGGGAGAGTCCTCGACCGCAGCCGAAGAGGGCTGGCTCAAAATGCCTCCCCGGGGGGCTCCATTTATACCCGAGCCAAATTCAATCCGGTCAGTCCCAGCCCAAATGGGCCGAGGGCCCCGGTTACTGTAACGACCTGAGAACGAGGGCATGAAAAAGGAATCAGTGCTCACCATGTCTCAGCAGCCAGGAAGCCCCATCTTTGTCAGGGTGGGTGCACCTGCCACAGCTGGTTGCTGTAGTTTATTTTAGAGAGGAAGAATGTATAAATACTCGAATAGCACCTAGGAGTACACTGTGTGTAACAGTTCTTGGCTATAAATCAGCGTAACCCAATCTTTCTGCTAAGGTTGCTTGTTCTGATAATGCGGCATGTAGAATGTCATTAAGTAACATGCTTCCCATATGTTACTTGAATTCCCAGTTTTTGTTTGATGCATGCTTCTGTGAACAGGCATAAAATGTTCTTGGTAGCCAGTGCATAGTGTTTACTGTGGAGCTTGAGAGTCTTCTCTAGCAAAAAATTAAATAACATTTAATAGGGTGAAAAGCTTGTTTCCCCCCCTTTTCATGTGTTCATCTGGCATAGGTTTATGTATTATGGAAACTGAGCAAATCTTGAGACTTGTGTGTGGAGGACAAAGTATCAGAATAAATAATGAATTTTTATGAGCACAAAATGCTCTGCATTTGTTTGAAATAGGGGGTAGGGGCGGTGTTGGAAAAAAAGAGGTCCAGTAAACTTATTTTAAACATCTTTATCTCCTCTTCTTCTAAGAAATTCACACAGCCGTTATTCTGTTAGCAGATATGACAGAGGCATAACTGAGGAGAAAAGACCAACTCTGAAGACTAGGGAACTTCAGTTGCTGAGGACCTAGGGTAAGAGAATATTACACAAATTAATTCTCGTCAGGCTGCAAAATCTTAAAGTGATAAAATGGTTAAAGTGTTTTAGGGTAGATAATTTATTGAAGGAAGTGGCACTGAAGGAAGTGGCTTATCAAAGGCAAGACTCGGTACAAAAAACTGAGCCTGATATATCAGAAGGGCCCCTTCATATGACTGGTGCTAAAGTGATGACATCTGTTATGAGCTCTGTTCTGCAGCTTTGGAAGCTCGTTGTAGAGCTACATCTGTAGAGCAGCGTTTTGGTTTTTTTCTTTCTTTCTTCCCTCCCCGAGTCCTCCAGACTATAGTCCCTAAACACACCAACAATGGTGTGAACTGTGGGATGGCTAAAAAACATTTAACGTCAAGGATGAATTTGTGGCCTTTATATATAAATTTTGTGTAATTAGTCCACTGGAACACCATGGGCTGTAAACCTCCGGTCTAAAGCAACAAATCCTAACTTTATTAGTGTAGGAGTAAATGCAGGTAATACGCCAGTAACAGGAGACATTTCTCTGTCAGCCTGGACACACTGACTGCTGCACCCGAGCTTCAGGAGGTGTCAGTGAGCACTGGGTTAAGAACAACCACTCAAGTGGCCTTTAAAGAATCATTTATAATCCTTATTGTTTCCACAAAAACTTGTAAACAATGAAAAGGGTACTGGAGTTTCATGAGGCCTTACACAATTATAAACTGTAGGTTGGCTTGTAACTAGTGCCCTAACTCAACAGAGAACTTTATTTTTCTGAGTTGCTGCAAGGTAACCAGGCACAGAAAGCTTTAGTGTGATGGGTCTTTTATTCTTTTTCCTTTCCCCCTCTCCATATCTGTTTTAGGACGTACCCTACAGCTGTCTTCTCGACCCCTTCTGCAGAGCCCCTTTCTCCCCCAGGACTGCTTCCTGTGCTGTCCTTCTAGCCAAACAACTGGGAAAAAAACAGAGGGAACCAGATGCTGTTGCTCACTGGTTGTGGCACCCTTTTTCCAAGCAACCAAGTCAGAGAAGCATACAAGTTTTTCCATGGCTGTGGGAGAGGCTCCAAATTTTTCTGAAGACAGAAAAACCTCAGGTTTATGTCTGTGGAGAACACAGCAAAAGTTCGCAATGACTTTTACAAAGCTGTCCTAGAGAATGAATTTTTATGCATGCCATAATCAACTGTGGCCCCTGCGTTGTAGATAGAGTAGATAAGCCTCGACAGAAGAAAGATGGCATACTCTTCTTCTCAGAGATACGCTAGTGCTTCTGTACTTTAACCACATCAGGCTGGCACAGAACAAGCCCAATTCACCACATCTGCACTGCTTAGTATAGTTTGTATATCTGTCTTACTAATAGAACTTGGTTTTACTAGCCAGAGGGGACTATATGCATTTTCCTTACCAGTGAAGGGGGAGAATGCTGCTATGTTTCTAACGAATTAAAAAAGCTGGAGAGATACTGAATTACATTCTTGGTAGTATTTAGATGGAACAACTACTTTTACTAGTTGCAAAACAGAACAGCAAAAATGTCAAAGCAATTCTCCTTCACATAGACTGAGATTATGTGACATAGTCTATTGTTACTGCCTTGAAATACTGAATTTGCTGGTTCAAACAACTTTGAGGTTAAATTCACACCGGAATTTAACAGGTTGCAGCGTTCTGTGTTTTAAAACAAGAAGTTTAAAATCACAAGTATGATTTATGAGGCACTCAGATGGTTCTGTGAGGACAAGGGGACAACCCATTATAGCTGATACTCAGGGCATTGTCTAAAAGTGCAAGAGCCTTCCTAGTTCCTAAAAGAGAGATTCACTCTCATAATTTTTATTAAAAGGGTTTGAATGAGATTCACCCATTCACCTGTGTAATTCCCACTCACTCTAGCTTAAAAGTTAATTTATAAACAAGTTACTACAAATATCACGTTCTCTCTAAAATACACAGTGATCTGGCAGTTAGGACATACCATGGGGTTTAATATATGGTAACTAGGTTAACACTCAGCAGTGTAAACAACTGAGCAGTGGTTTTGGGCACATCCACTGGCCAAAATTTACTGGGCTAGTCGTGGGCTTTGAGGACTGAGAGTTGAGCAGAAGTACCTTCTTATGGATGTAGCATGTTCTTTCTTCCCAGAAGAAACCTGTACCACAGGGCTAGCTTTAAGGAGAGCTAAGATGAATCAGTTCTTACAAATGATCTATCTGATGAAGTTATTAAACTGCTTTCACACATTATGTCATACGTAGAAAAGAGGTTCTCATCCAAGACTGGCACACGAAAAGCAGCTTTTTTTCGAAACTAATAGAATAATGAGAGCATCCTTCCAAGAAGACAAGGGACCAGGCAAGAGAAAATAAGGGGAGTTAACAGGTATCCTCCATAAACTTTCTTCCAAGGATAAGTCAATCCTCATGTTTTTAATTAAAAAAGAAATCAAGCTTGCAGTTCTACTTCACTGCTGGAAGAAATATGCTTCATAAGGAACACATTTTACTGAAACTTACTTCTGTCCAAGTTTGAAGGGCTGCAGCCTGACGTTACGCTCTTCATCAGACCTGCTCTCCCGCAGGAGGAAGCGAACAGGCTCAGCAGCAGTTAAAAAAATGTGGCAGACATTTTCCTGAGACAGGAAGGGACTGTCAGGTGAAGGTCAAGCAGCTAATGAAACTAACACTCGGACTGCACAAGAGTGATGCTCAAGCAGTCTGACGAAGCTTTCTCTTGTGACACAAACACAATAAAAAGAAATCCAGGTTAGGTAGCACAGAGATGAATTCAGCAAGAGTATCGGTAAAAGTAGCTTTCCCACCCCTAAGTGGAAGTTGTAGCAATTCATCTTTCCTGCCCACTCAGTGAAAAGAACTAAACAGATTTGCATGAGCAAGTTCTAATATAAGCTAGTCTTGCATCTTTTATTAATGCCATTTATGTAGAAACAGACTGCACTGTTATCTGTCATTTACAATCAAGAAGTAATTGAGAAGTACTGTAGTCTTTGAAGAGCTTGTAAAACTTCTTTGAGCTTCATTATCCCAAAAGCTGGTAGGTTACATCAGTTTGTGTTACAGGCAGTTATCTTCTGTGACGGAGAACTAATTAGCCTTGACACTATCTACAAATCTCCAGGATAATCAAGCTTAAAGTTATTTCACTACTTTTAAAAGACTACAGTAAAAAACAATGTAGTCACTAATTTTTAGAGACTTTCCTTTACTTACTCTGTGAGTGAAACTTCACCTGTTGATGATCCACTGGTGCCAAGCACCAGCAGAGCTAGCTTTCCTCCTCTCCTACTCCTGTTGTCTGGTATTCCTACACACTACGTTAATAGTTTATACTAATTCTCTCCATTGCTGCCTTCCACGCAAGCTCAAATCGTTACAGACACAGCATTTGCTTGAATTAGATTGTGTGTCTTTCTGTAGTTATCTGTAAAGCTCATGCTTGTCAACAGCTTTAATCCAAAACCAGGCTTCTGATGGAAAAGTCTACACACGCAAACCTCCGTTCTGCAAGTCACCGCTGCGCCCAGCACGTGCTCCACATCCCAACAGCTTGGCTCACTGCATCAGTGATGAATTTGCTAACAGCCACATGCTTGCACAACAGAAGCTTAAGCAGTTCTCCCTGTAATTTTCTATTTTTGATGCTTCCTCTTATGTCGTTCTTCTTTAAATAACTCCATCTAGACACAACATAACTGCTCATTTTAAGAAGTACGGCATCAAGTTAACAACTCAGTCCAGCCAGAGGTATCTCCCTGTTACACAAAGGGATCCAGTTTCATCCATCCAGCCCCAAAACTTCAGGCTACAGACAAGTAATTAGGGCACAGAGCGTAAAAGGACAACAAAGATCAACCAAACAAACACACTGAAGGGAGAACTGGAGAGTAAACTACAGCAGCTGACTGCTAGCACTGCTACCTAAACAGACATATGCAAAAAAAAAAAAAAAAATAAAGGTATTGATATATATCTGCATTAACAGACTTCTGTTTATAAACATTGAAAAGTTTTTATTTTATAGATAAATAGGATGGTGATTTTTAAAGTTAGGAAACAACACAACTTAAAAGCTCTGACTCCCCAAGATACTAGAACTCAAGAGTTTATTCTTACTCCACAATATTAGAGATGGCAGCTTCCTCCTTTTTATATTGCACTTAGAAAAACTTTCTTGTGAAGGCTACATTGTTTCCAGGTGCTAGCACCAACGCTGGCATGTGAAACCAGTGTCTCAAAATATCTCCAAATGCAAACAGAAAGTTTAAGGTGTTGTAACTACCATCCTTAAACATACCAACACTGAAAAGAGTGTTCTCTTTCCAAAGCAAGAGCAAGCAGATATTCTCCAAGATTCCCTTAAAGTAGTCAGAAATGGATTAGCATTTGTGATGATTAGGTACTGACAATCACATAGGATTGAAATTCCCATCGAGGACTTCAGTTAATAATTGGTTTGGGCCTACTGGTTTTGAAGAGTGTATTTTGCACCGTTTTCACCTTTGGAAGGTTATTTCCATCACAGCTGGCTCAAAAATGTAGTTATTCTAAGAAGAAATAAAAAAAAGGACAAGAAGAAAGGACAGATTCGATATTATTCAAAACACACAATCTAGAAGTTAGAATTAAATGCTATGCCAAAATACCACTGAAAAACAGAAGTTGAAACTATGGTAAGAAATCTCAGTGGAATTTCAGTATGACTGAAGAAATCTGCATTCATTGCAATAATAAGAAGGTGCCTTACTTCTAACTTCTGGAAGAAACACAGTTGTCTCTGTCTTACAACCTTGTCTGTATCATCCCCCCAACCTAATACCAGTTACTTTCCCAAATTCAAAGTTGTTCCTAGTACATCAGTGCTTCCAGAACACGGGTTTGCATCATGTCAGGAGTGAACTTAGAACGGTAGTAAATTCCAATCACTTGTAATTTTATCAGAGATTTCCACAGATAGGAAAAGGAAACACAAATGAAGTTTTGTGCAGACTAGAGGCCAATGACAGCATAATCTGCTTTTGACATCATAGGAAAAGAATTTAAAGCACCAGCCTCCAGGCCTTTGCCACTCCTCACTCCTACAGCATGGTACTGTTGTGGTCACTGAAAGACAGTATGCTGCCACAGAAAAAAAGTACCTTTGTCCCTTTAAAGGTTCGCACAAACTTTATTCTTTGCTTCCTATAACTAAATTTATTTATTTAAAAAAAAAAATCATTAAAAACCATCACTGATGTAGATATTAATTACTTAAAAAAAGAAAAAGCAAAGAATTGTGTTAAGTGCAGCTTTTATAATCATGTTCTGATTTTTTTCTCTTACATTTACCACAAAAGTATCATCTTGATTTTACTCCAAGGGAAAACATATGAAATCACTTTTTTGCACAGAGGAGTAAAGTCATGGACCAGAAACTTATTTCCCCACAGGACGTTTCAGATGGAGTGTTGCAATTTTGCATCATTAAGGCAAAATGAGGAATACTTCCATCAAGTGTCACACAGGGCTCTCCCACTCTGGCCATTCTGATAGACCCATATTTAAAAACCTTTGTAGTTACTTTTTTTTTTTTTTTTTTTTTTTTTTAAATAGAAAACAGTCACTCTCTTCATTGTTTAACGGTTTGGAAGAAAAGGCTCTTTCCAGCCTTCACTCAGAACTTCAGTCTTGTGATTAGATCAGGCATATGCAATTGCTTCAAAACAGCTATGGAAACTAGAAATTGATCTAAGTGTCAATCAGTTGTAATCTACTGATCTGATTAGAGGCCTTCACAAATGTTTGATGACGATTGCAAATTACAGCCAAGCAGATAGGAATGATGCAATACCCAACAGTTTTGGGGTCAGCTCTTGTACAGGAATAGAGGAACAAGAACATCTGTAAATATGGTATTAAAAATATTATAGTCCACAGCCAAAAAGGCAAGGATAGCAGTCGTACTTTTAAGGAGTGCGTCCATGTGGTTCCTTCCTGTGGTTCCTTGGGGTGTTGCTGAATGTGCTCCAGTGCTAGTTTGTTGTAAGTCTCATTGATTTCAAAGACGTAATAAAAAGCTGCAGCACTTGCTAACAAGTACAACCCCACACCAATCCATCCCATCCTCTGGCGGAAGTTCATCATTCTCCATGCTCTGCACCTGGAACAAAAGACAACATGTACATTCAGTACAGCTTGAAGAAAGAGGAGACATAGATGAAGCTTGGTTTTTGTACAACTTTTCATTACGCACTAGTAAAACAGCACACACATCAATTTCTGAAGTTCTCTCTACGTCAGAGAAAATCATATTACTATGCCAGCAACAGGCTAATGGTAATTACATACAATGCTCGATCGATGGCTGTGGCTAGTTTAGGGGCTGCTAGCTATCAAGTTATACCAGGTCAAAGTCAAGTACTGAGTGAATAAAACAGAAGTCATGAATTGGGTGAGTTAGTTACCCCATCTGCCCTCAGCGCCTCTAGCCGCAGGGTGGGGATACTATGAGACTTTCTATAAGTACAGAAAGTTCGTAAAGTTCTTTGACATCTGCAAGACAAACGTGTTTCCAGCTAGCCAGTAACAGGAACATCACTGCTTGTTTGCAGTACAGCAACATCCAGCTTTATTTAGCTCCAGCTGTATGCCCATCTATGAACCACATAAAAGGATGTTTTCAATTTGAACATGAGAAGGTATGTACTCGTACCCATTTGCACACATGAAGATACTATAAGCACATTACTTGCACCTAACTGTACTTCTGCTCTACCTGTGTGAACAGCTGCAGTGTGCCTTCTGGAGGAGAGGAACTGAACGCCTGTACTGGGGTTAACTGACTCTGTGCAGAACCAGACACCAGTCAACTGGTAGTTTTCAGAAGAAGCACAAATTACTGAAGCACCAGACACTACTGGGCTTGATATCAGCTGCTTTAAGATCTCTGGCCAGCGGAATGGGTGAGGTGACTTGAAACACTCTCCAAACCAGTCACAAACCCTCTAGACGAAGTACGTCCACTCAAACCAAGAAGTCATCACCACCTTCCCTCAAAATAGCACTTGGGCTGGGCAGGGAGAACCACTGCTTCACTGCAGCTGGTTAGAGAGTTCTCCTAACAAATATGCTTTTTCAGCCTGTCAGGGTTTTACCTTTCCTACCTTTTTAAGAGGAGTAAAATCAATTTTTAAGAGGAATAAAATCAGTGCACTTTTAAGAAAATATATCAGGCTTTAAAAATACCTGGCAGAAATGCTTTTTTAAGGATGATTTGTGCATACATAACAATAATTATTAATATAAGAGTATATTAATACCCTCTTATAAGAGAGTTTACCATAATTGATTTAAAAAATCACTACACCTTTCTAAATGCCCTTTCTTGAAGCTAGCCTATTCTGTCTGGTAAGCAACCTGGAAAGCCTTTCTGGTTTTCCGTAGCTGAAAGATATCCCCAATGCTGACCCTACAGACTCTGATCAGGGTAGCCCTGGAGAAGTTGTTCTGGCCCTCACACTGCTCCATTTATGGTGGCTAAAAGGGTGAAACATACAGTGACAGTAAATACCTGGCAATGCCATAACTTACGCCCGTGACAGCAATTTGCTGTTTAGCTTATCCGTCTATATAACTTAACGGTATGCTTCCCTTTAATACACCGAGTTAACACTTTTAGGGGGGCAGCCGAGAAAAACGTGTAAAAAGCTTTTCACCCACCGGGTAAAAACTTAAATTCCAGAGTCCATGTTTACCTAATGGCTAAGTCCCTGCCCGTTTTTTTTTTTTGGTTTGTTTTGTTTTTTTTTTTTCTAGTAGTTAAGCATTTTAGAGACGACTAACAAGTAGTCACCTTCAGAGAAAATGTATCTTCAGAAGGAATGCACGTACCGAAGGCACAAACACTACTAAAACTGCAGCAGATTTAAGATGGTAAAACATCAGCTGTTTCTCCTCCTTCCCTTGTTAGGCAGCAGCGGCCAGGAGAGGAGCCTCGGCTCTGGGTCACGCCGAAAGAGGCAGAGGGAGCGCCTGGAGTTTTGTCATCATTATTTTCCGTTTCGAGGCACTATTTTTCCCTTGTAGCTTTCGGAGAGACCCGCGCTGGTTATCAGGGCTGTCACCCCGCATTCCGCGGGTGCTGCGGGGCTCTCCCGCGCCAGCCGCCCGCTGGCGACCCCCGCCGCGCTCGGACCCCGCGCCGCTGCGGCTCCCTCACCGACGCCGGCAGCCCCTTACCTTCCTCCGGCGGAGAAGGAGGGAGCGGGAGGGCGGCGGCAGGCGGCCCGCTCCCCTCAGCCCGCGCCGCCGCGCCGGGAAGCGGAGGGCCCCGCCGGCCCGCCGCGCCGCTGCCGGCCCGCCGCCATCGCCGCCCGGCCGCCACTCCCGGAACCGCGGCGCTTCCGGCATGGGGAGAACCGCTTCCGGTGCGCGCTCCGGCCGCAGCCGCGCCGGGGCGGGATGGGACGGGACGGGGCGGGTTGGCCGGCGGCCATCTTGGCCCGGGCCCGCGCGCCTCCGCGGCGCGCTTGGCCTCGCCGAAAATGGCGGCGGCCGCCGGACGCTGCCCGCACCCCTTAGTCACCTCCCGGTTACCGCCGGCCCCGAGCCGCCGCGGTTGGAGCGCTAGCGCTGCCTCGTGTGGCGGCGGAGGAGCGGCCGGCCCCTGGCGCGGCGGCCGCCTGTAACCGCGCCGTCCCTGCGAGGCCGCTGGTTTGAATTGCGCGGGCCCTCGAGGAGAAGGGAAGCTCCAAGGGTTGCGCTGTGGCAGGTGGCGGCGTTAGCCAGGTGCGGTGAGGGAAACGCCGGTGGAGGCTGTTCTGTTGTGCAGCAGTGTCCAACAGCTGGCACAGGTGTACTTTAAAAACTACATATTCATTCATAGATACGTCTTACTGGCATATTTCTTTCGAATTAAATCATTGGGAAATAGGATACCGGGAAAAAAGCCTTCAAAGAAGCCAAAAGATCATCCAAATTGACCAAGCGAATCTGATTTGTTCAGATGTGTACAGTTCACTGAAGTGCACCACGGTGATGTTTGGAAAGTTTGCTTGTGCGGAAGGTGTTTCAACATTTGTCTCACTTCAGTAACTGTTTAACATGTACTTCCCGTGCTAGTCAAAATACTTCACTAACTGCATAGCGTTATATGTAAAATCAATTACTAACTTGTATCGTGAACTTATGAGAAAACTACTGTGGGAGTTCCTGTAATTTCTTACTGAATTGCTTAACAAATTGAATCAACTATGAGCAAAATAGATTTCAAATGCATTTGATTTATCAAAACCTTGACCATTAACTCTATTACTAGGGGGAATAACCAACTCCTTGTCAGTCAGCACTGAATTCCGTCCTCTAAAGTTACAGAGAAGGACTGGTGACCACAATTGACACACATCAAACTGTAGTTAAAAAGAAGGCTGAGAGAATTTTAAAAGGGATGTCAGATAATAAATGAAAGATGCTAAAGCAGTGAGATATTTTGTTTGAGTGTAAATAAATATACATACCGGATTTGCTGCCATTTTTCTTGGGAGATGTAGTAGGTGCTTGTGAGGCAGTATATAAAAGCTGCTGCAAAATTAAATTTATGGTACCTTATCCTGCTATGCTTGGTGTTTCAGTGAAAAAATATTATAAACTAGAGTTTTGGATTACATTCAGGACTGCTGATAACTAAACACACGGTGCTGCTGATGTCATTCGAGAAAAATGACACTGTTGAGAGCCCACAACAGTCAGAAATAAGTTCCCTGGCACAGAGCAACTTCACCTTAAGCCATGGTTGGTTGGTTGGTTTGTTTTTCCCCTTGCTTTGGCTCGTTTAACTAAGGGCTCAAAGTGTAGCTCCTTGACCACTGTGAGGACACTAGATGGTGCTCAACACCACAGGCAAAGCCAACCTTTTGCAGGCCAGGTGAAACCCCGACTCCCAGTTCAGAAGTTTTGCACTTGACATCAGTTGAATGAGGAATTCATCATGCTTCTTTCATTAAGTTGAAATAAATTGTTAGTGTACTTCTGATGAAAGATGTAGGTATGAATAACTACCTACAGCTACTTATCCCTGGGACACTGCTTTTGACTAAATGCCATTCTTTTTCTCCTTACAAGTGGTGAGGTCCCAGTTGATCTAGAAGTGAATGTAGCTTCTGTATAGCCTACAAACCTTCTATTCAAGTATTGCTTTATTGCATCTTCTTATATTGGGGCTAAAGGTAATGATGAGAAATGGAGCCTGTTTCCTTGAAAATGCCAATCTAGATGTCAAAGAGAAGGGTTTCAGTCAGAATTAATGTGACTGTGTGAATATATGGCTTGGCAGTTGATACATGTTAAGTCTGCAGTTGCACTTAAGATTCTGAAGAAAAAGAAGTGAAATTCGGGGCTTATTCCTACTTAACAAGTCTGTCCTCTTCAGGGTTTGAGTTGGAGAGGGAGGATGGTTTAAGATTTAACTTGCTTAATTTATGGGTCTTTTCTTCTGTGTTAATCATAGGCCTGAAGTTATGGTTATGAAGAGAAAGATTTTAAAAATTTATGGAGTTCTTGTAGCAAACACAAGCTGTCTTTGAAAGCTAAGTCATAACACCAGACAGCGTGACTTGTAGTATCTTTGGACTAGATCTCAGTTTGCATAAATTCAGTGTTATACTTAACCTTTGGGACAGCATAGGAAGGGACACAGCAAATAGCTCAGGGGTTGGTTGGTTTGTTGTTTGTTGTTTTTTTTTTTTTTAACATCAGCCTTTGGGGGGGGGAAGTAATATCAAAATTAGTGGAACAAGAAGCATCTGTTCTTAGATTCACAAGGGTTTCAAGCTAAATTCCGATCATCAGGGCTGGTAACAATAAGGCCAAACAACTCATACTATCCGTATTGATATGGGGGCATATGCCTGGTAAGACTCAAAAGAGTAATATTCAGGTTGCAAAGAGGAGGAGAAGATAGAAGTCTGTTGAATCAAAAAGAATTACCATTTAATGTTCAGGCCTAGAATTAGAGAGTTAATAATGGGATTTTGTAGCGTTAAAAAAAATAAATGAGCATTTCACTTTGTTTTGACATGAGTTATTGTAGGGATTGTGAAACTAGGTATAGAAATGCCAGGTTTATTTTGAAGGTAAAACAGAAGAGCATCAGGAGCAGGGAGGGCTGGCTACTCCACAGAGGGCAGGAGCCAAGCATGGTAACACAGCTGATAGGGCAGAGCCGTGCTGCCAGAACCCAGTCCCACAGTACCAGAGCAAAGCAAGCAGGGCACATCAGGTTCAGCCAAGAGTCCAGATCATCAGGCAAATGAGGCAGATCCAAGGTCAAGCTGGGAAGGCAGCCCACAGGTTAGGGTCAGGTCCAGTGAGGATAGCTGGGGTCAGACATAGCCTAGTGATTGCCAGGTAGGTCCGTATTGATAATGGAAGACTGAAGTCAGCCTGTAAGTCCAGATCCAGATGAACATGGCTAGACACTGTCACGGCTGAGCTGGAGAGCCATACTGCTACAACATAGTTCAGGTGGGGACTGAAGGTCCAGGGATCACCTTAAGTGGGGCTCCCAAGCCCATGGGTAGGGGCAGGTGAGGCTTGTTAGGGCTGCTAAGTCCTATTAGGGCAGTCACGGTCCTGACAAAGTACATAGGACAAATGAGGGCTGACAATAGGGAACAGAAGGGTTAGTTGTAATCTTTTGATTAAACAAAGTTTTCATAATTTAGTGTTAAAGGAAGGTCTTCACTAGTCTTAGGTTTTGGCTAAAAAGCAAAGGTAGAAAAGCAGAAGCTGGAGGACAGAAGGCACCATGTGTTCTTTGGTTGGATACTGATTTAACGTAGTCATAGGTAGGTTCTCATTATTGACAAGTAATGACGAAGTGAGCATCTAACTACAGAAACATTTCTCTCAAGATGGCATTTACCTTCCACTTTGTAGGACACTGATTTTTGGTTCACCAAGAACACCATGTTCCCAGATTTTTTTCTTCTTGATCCTAACTCTAAAACAAACTCTTGGCTAGAGATCTGGGATCCCTACAGAGTCCGTATGTGTTCGTGTTCCAGGGATTAAAACTGGCATAAAGGAAGAGAACAGGGCATGAGCCCATGTGCTTAGTCCTATGAAGATCATACCTAACCATAAGCCAAGAGGGTTAGACTAGTTTTATGGTAGGGCTAAGCTTCTGAGGAGTGAGGGATGAAGCACAGTGCTCCTTGAGAATGCTCACTGGCTGGCTTATGGAGAAGGAAGACAACTGACAGAAAGGAAGCCCTTCTTCAGACCCTGATAGGCTCCCGTCTCTTCCTTGAACTTAAAATGTAGGGCACAGAAGAGCAAACTGAAGAACCACTGCTTTGACTGGAGAAAGAAAACACACGTGGAAACCCAAGCTTCACATGACATCTGCCCTCAGCTCCAGATGGGCAAACTCCCCTATGTATTACAAGAAGAGTTAGAACTCTTTCTAAAGAAACACAGAAGATAAAAGGTTTTCAGTGAATCTTCACTAACACACACAAAAAACTAAGGGGGCGTATTGGGAAAAGGGAATGCCTTTAGCTTCTTTTTCTCAAAACAACATTTATCGTGCTCATGTGAATTTTTATCAGTGAGTGAATGAATGCCCAGTGTTTTTGCAGCTTGTAGTGGTTGTGTTTACTACATGTAGTTACAGTGAATTTCATAGTATCCTGTCGTGTAATAACTTGATCGGTTTCTTATCTTATGAATTGTTGTGAGTCAGAAAGATTGGTTCCCCTTAGCTTCAATTTCACATGCTTTATTTTATGTTTTATGAATACTTATTTTGTATTTTATAACGTTTCTTTCTTCTGAAGGTAAAGCTACAGTCTTCTGATTCTCTTTTTCTCAGGTGGTTATTTTGCTTTTACTGTTGGCTTTCTTTGAAGTTCTGTGTTGGAAACATCTGTTTTCTTACGAGGGTTAGCACATTCAGTATTTTGGGAGCACGTAAACCACTTTTTAATATTCTCATTTGGAATGAAATATTATGTTTGCTTGTTTTGGCTACACTGACCACATGAAGCGGAGGTATTCAGTGAGCTGTGTGTAATCCATGGTGATCTTTTCCTTCTTTGACTTGCTTCTTATACTTTGAAATGTTGGGACCTTAAATTACCTTGATCTTAATTCTCTGTTCCTGAAATCCTTTCTCTAGCAGCAGGCACATCTGAGTTAAGCTTCAGGCAATCATGTTATCCAG